AAGATTAGTCACTTTACCGTAAACGTAGATATATATATATATATATATATATATAAGGTTAAATAGACTAATATGTTTGAATTAATGTAACTTAATTCTTTGGGTTTTAACCCAATAAAAATGTAGAACATACGACTGAAAGATAATCATGTTTACACAATAATTGGTAATTATTTACTACATCATGCGGAATTCAACAATTAGTAATACATCAAATGAATCAAATATATAAGAATGCAAAATAAATCCTATTGACACAATGTTTACTGCAAACCCCCTGCCGGCGGCAACCTTCCCTACTGCAGAAGAAATCACATCACCTCCTTCACTCTTGCCATCCATGGTGTAGTTGATTTGAAGGTGACCGTGCCGTCGTTACCTGCAAGCACCCTGTACTTGTCCTTCCTCGTGAAGTTGGTGCACTCGAACCCAAGCGTGGCGCCGAGAATCCTCTGCACATAGTTGGCCACATCGTATGGGCTCTTCCCCGCCGAGCACGTCGCCTCCATCGGCAATTGGTTAAGGAAAGTGACCTCGTACACCGGCCTTGGGTTCATGAAGAAGAAGATTGGATCCATGGCTTTCCATCCCCTGGCTGTCGTTGCATGGAAAAACCCCACTCGGTAGTTCATGGCCACCGGCACGATCTGGTCCGTCAGCTCGGCGAAGAGCGCGCTGAACCTTAGCAAGAAGGGCTCCCGGCACGTCGTGCCTTCCGGGCACACCACGAGGTCGCCTTTCGCTAGCTCGGATTTGATGCGCTCCGCGTCGACCCGACGGTCCCTGGTCAGTCGAATCGTCGGTATCGGCGACAGGATCTCCGACAGGCGGGAGATGGAGTACGTGACGGCGGCGACCTTGCGGCCGAGGACCATGGAGAGGACCACCGGGTCCATGAGGGTGCGGTGGGTGCACACGAAGAGGACGCCGCCCTTCGAGGTGGCAGCTGGCTGCGGAGGCCGTCCTCGCATGATGAGCTTCCCGCCCAAGAAAGGTGCAACGGCGGGGATCCACCGGATGGGGATGATCAGACCGATGGTGATTCGGACGAAGGCCACAACGACGCCGAGTGGCATCCACAGGACGATGAGGAGCGCCATGAGGGGTGTGGGGCGAGCGACGAGCCGGCCATCGTGGAAGACGACGGGCCGAGGCCGGCTTAACTCTTGGCTCTGCTTCAGGTCACAAGCTGCCATCGGAAGGTGATACTGTTCCTGCATGCACCAAATGGAATTAGGGTTCTTATCAGACTGTAACAAGATTCGATCATGGATGCATCAACAGTCTTTGCACCTTGCAAAAGGACAAGAACGACCGCGCCGACGTCCGTCTGCCGAAACCCGCATCAGGCTTGTCATCTTTAAAGATTGCGCGCAGTTTGCAGAGGGGCGAGTCCTTCTCTGCTCGCTTGAAGAAACCGGTGGCATATCCGAAGCGACTGATCTCGAGTTCACGCCCCACAACGTCGTCGGCATGCAGGTGATCCTTCACAAACCTCTCCACCATCACCCGTGGCCAACTCGTCACCACCACTTTACTCTTAAACGAGCTGAACACGCTCCAAGCCGCCATGTTCACATCATCCATGAAGAACTTGGGGAGGACCGCTCGTGCCACCGCTTCCATCTCCGACTCCCGCACCCCGGCCACGGCCACGAAGACCGTGAGCTGTAGGCTGAGTCCCGCCATGCCGATCGAGTGGAGCAAGCGGAGCAGAGGCCACAGGAACAGCAGCGCAGCGAACCGGATCAAGCCGGACGTCTCGAACGCGAGGAGCATGAAGTAAGGAAACGGGTCGACGTCGTCGAGGAGCGTGCCTTCGAGCTCCGACACGATGGAGCCGGACTCAGACCGGCCGGAATGTCGATCCTCCATCTCCCAACGCCTATCGCCCGTTCGATGATGTTGTATTAATCCTTTGGAGGCAAACGAGGGGGATGGATTGGCGATGGGAAGTTGGCGAGAACCGCGGCATGAGATATATACACAGGGGGGAGCACGAGGTGGCGTCCATGGCAGCGTTCACGGGAACGTTTCCATGGAGGGGGGAATAGGGAAGCTGAACCGCTCTCAACTACCAAGGAAATGTGGAGGCGTCTCTTTACCTCACACGCCATGCAACGCCAGAGCAGGGGTTGTGAAGCTAAACCACATCAAGAAGACAAACTTGTAGGCAACTCTCACTTTATTTGGCCATCCGTTCGCCCTTTATTGACCTTGGTTTGCTCGTGGAGACTGTGCCTACCTCTGACCCAACTTCCGTTTTAATACTCCTAACGTAACGAAGTTGCCACAGGAGAGACGCAAGCAAGCTCGCTCGCTGGCTTATTTATGGCCGCATTACAGATCTGGTTGAGCTCCTTCACTTCCCTTTCGAGACTTCGGAAGCTTAATCTGGCACTTCCTTATCCACATACGCTCTTTGACTTTTGTGTGTGAAATTTCCCACCGTTGACCGAAATCAAGTTTGATCCAAATCTAAGCTAGATTTATGATCAGGTCTCTACGTGGGTAAATGTATTTGCTTAATCTGAGAGATCGATTCATGTAGAGCTGTCTTCTTCTGCGTGGTGTGTACTCATCAAGTTAGACATGAATTACATGTTTGATTTCTGAAAATTGCGAGCAAATGACTTCTACACCAAATAGATTTAGTCACGACTATATGATGCAATTTGCAAGAGGATATATATAAATTATATTAGACGCAAACTTCTGTCTTAATTCCAGCGGAAGAATGTGTTTCCACTCTAAATACACTTAGCACAAGCTGAATCACAGAGGGTTGGGCATCAGGACACTTCTGGTTCGGGAGAAGGATTCTTGATGCCGCGAACATGTACAGGTCTATCACTGTGTTCCGTCTTTTGCTTCTTGCAATGGGGTTCTTCCTTCGAGACGAGCTGAAACCTGAAGCAGTAGGACTTTGTTTGCAAGGAGATCAAAGGTTTCGGATCCTACGGGATAACACCGTTCTCTTCTGTCGGTGTTTGTTTACGGAATTGCGTACGTCTTAAGAGGTCATCCATCATCTCCTGGCATTCATTCACCTCGCTCTACAAAGCTTACCAATGTAAAAACGTGGTGCTAATAATATATGAGAGAGTTTTGACTGAGATTTCGATCGCGAGAGGGGAGAAGGCTGAGTAATCTTACCATGTTTTGCACAGGATTCGGAAGGGCGAGAAGGGAGAAGGCAGCTTCGCTCCCTGCCAAGGTTTGCAGAGCCGATGCCGCCACGGTGGACTGATGAAACCTCTGGAATCTGCTGTCTGGCCATGGGATTCCCATGACGAGCCAAAACATGGTCAGATTAATTAGGCGGACTGTCTCCGCTGATACAGTAATGATCGTCCGAGATGCATGGGATGTTCGTGTACCTACTAAAGCGCAGAGAAGGAGATCGATCATGCGAGGAATGTACGGGGAGTGGACGTGACTTAAACCCCACGTAAACACTTCCACGTACGTGTAGGCCGTGATGCATGCGAGTCTCCAGTCGAGCGTCTTGAGGACCGTCAGTTCCATCTGCTGGATCGTTCTCGCGTCAAACGAGTGCCCCAATTCCTCCATCTAAATCGATTCATAAGCTCGTCAGGAGATCCTAATATTTCTCTCCAGAAAACAAACACCATAATATTGCTGCCGTAGGTAGATACATGCATCAGACCTGGAGATCATGCAGTGAAGGCATGGAGACCTCGTCCATCTTGGAAGCAATGGATAGGCAGGCCACCGATAGCAACTCCATCATCCAATCTTCCCATCTCTGTCCACGTTCACCAAAAGAAGTAGGACCGTAGTGAGCTTACTGTTGCCTTGGTGGATGCATGTGAAGAGGTAGCTAAATTACCACAGTACAATTCACGGAGATGAAGCGATCCAAATAATTCACAGCGTTGAACGCCGTGCCAGTGGCTAAATTCAGCCGGTTGCAAACCTAATGTTCATAAAAAATTGTTAGCATCGAGTTGAAGGTACAATCTCCGATGAACTTTTCGTATACACAGTACCAGTATGATGTATTGTATCGCTCTGGTTCTTGCGGCAGGCAGATAGGAAGATCGATGCAGCTGATGGGAGTAGCCATGGCAGGGCAAGTACCGGTGCTCCCTCCGCAGGAGATCATGCAGGATAACGTCGCGGTCTTCGACGGCGGCGCTGCTAACCATCGACGGTGGAGGCGAGGAGGAAGGAGAAGCTCGTGCAGGTGGAGGTGTCGGGCTGAGAACGAAGGGCTCCTCGTCGCAGAGAAGGCAAAGACCGCTGTCCTCCATCATCCCCATACTGACGAAAAGGTTCTCTGACAATTCCAAGTACCTCGCAGCTTTTGCAGAGAGAGAGAGAGAGAGAGAGAGAGAGAGAGAGAGAGAAGTACGCAAGCTGTGGAATCCAGTAGACATCCCATACATCGTTCGCAGGTTTATATGCACCACACTACACGACACGACAGGATATCAAAGGACGTGGAAGTTACAGGCAGGTGATCACGTAAAGAAGTGGGAGGGTTATCCATGCGGTCAGGTTGGTGGTGGCTTTAAGACATGGGAGGGTTGCCCTCATGAGGAGGGGTAAATGCCAACGGAACAGTTTAACCGATGGCGTGACGGTGCACGAGAACGGGCCCCCTGCCTTCATAAGCAGCGGATCCACGGATGATCACGAATCCGGGATCCGGGATCCGCATCAGCACAGCGATCACGAATCTTGATGACATCTCGACGGAGGACCATTAGGCAAAGCCTGATGGGGACCGTTCACGCTTTTTGACCTCGTCACACGTGAATCATAATTTATTACTGTATTTGAATTCTTAATCGCTACAACTATTATGAGACGATTTAGTCTCTTGTTTATTGGAAGGATAAAATTAAGAATCATAATCGAACTGATAATTTTGGTTCCTAATTAAGGAATCGATAAATGCCATCAAAATAATCTTTTTCGTATGAAATGTCGCCCAAAGAAAAAAGCAGGATGCATCCGCCGTGCTTTGAGATTCGTGCGAAGTTCATCTGAGGCAGCTTGAGATCACTCTAAAGGTCATTCCGCTTCCCTCTCCGATACTGCCTGGAACAGCGTTTCTATCGCAGGAAGCAGCCGAGGGTTGGCTTCGAGAGGAGAAGCAATCGACCTGCTAAGCAATTACAGCAATCGGAAGTAATTAAGAGGAGGTTTAGCAACAGTAATTGCTCATCAGTCAGGAAGACACTATGAAATGATGTTTCAGGCACGCCATAGTGGAGGACTTATATGCATTTGGAGCGACGATCCACACCTGCACCCTGAATGAAGCGGAGCTCAATGGGTGGCGAAGAACTATAATGTCACAGGGACCGTTTGCGATGTCTCATCTCCAGCTGATAGAGAGAAACTAATGAAGGAAATCAACTCCACCTTCGAAGGAAAGCTCGATATCCTGTTAAGCTCCATGGCTGACCATTCCATCGGTTTCACTATAGCTTGTGAAATGGAAGAACAAAGTCCAAAGCTGGTTTGTTCTTTACGTAGGATATCAACGCCGGGACAAGCTTTCTTAACCCAATCGTGTCTATAACCACTGAGGACTACAAGTTTCTGATGAGCACCAACTTCGAATCTGCTTTGCGTCTGAGCCAACTCGCGTACCCCCTCGTCAAGGCATCAGGAAGAGGAGGCTGCGTCGTCAACGTCTCTGGTTGGTGGACACAATAACGCAGAGTTGCATGTTTCTCATGGCCGTGACATCAAATAGACTCTTGCGTTCCGGCTGCTCTCTATGTTCTCATGCATATGCTTCGGTTGATGCGATCTGAACTTACATGAACGAAATGTTATGAGGCTTCTGCCTTGAGTGTGTCCAATGCCATGTCTACATATCTGCAACAAACCTTGTCACCCCTCTCGGTGGACTTGGTATACCCATGGAAATATGTGGCTCAGAGGAAGATGGCTGTGCTTCCAGGACCGACGGCTGGTGGCCTTGCGGGCGCATGCCATGCACCATTTCCATGACTCTCTCGAGATAAGTCTTCCCTGATCTTTGACCATTTGAAGCACATCTTCCCTTCTTCGATGGCGGAAACTTTTGGCTATTGACCAAACCTTCTTAGCTTTATGAGAGGACGACGACTGAGTTGTCTCTCTATCTACCACCAGAGTCGGAAACCCGTCATGAACAGACCTTGACGGCGAAAGGCAAACTCTTCTCATTCTTTTGTAATCCTCCTCGGTTCATCAGAGTTTGGATTTTTGTCTTTAATTATCGCATTCCCTACATTTATTATACATTTTAAATATAATTTCCATTTCTGTAAATATAAAAAATTATAATATATTTATTAAATATTTTATATTACGCTTACAGTGTGATCGCTTAATCCATTAGTTCAACCAATAAACTTCTCATTCAAGGCTTGATCTGATCGATATCGTCCAAAGTAGGAGAAGTCTGGTTTGATCCACTCCCTCTCTGAGTCGAAGCTTCCGAACACGTGAAGCGCATTTGTAGTCTCTTCGACCGGTGTCGTAAACTTTTTGGCTGTTGACCCAAATCCTGTGGCTGTGTGCTACTCCACGAACAGAGACATCTACTTCCTTCTTCCACCGCAGAAAGATAAAAGTGCCTCCTTCCACGAAGCCAGCCTTCCGCTCGATTAGGTTACTACGACCGCATAAGAATCGCCGCCGGGCTGCTTGACGATTCTCCAAAGGTTTGCGAGGCGCCATACAGTCCACCACGTAGCTAAACGACCCACCGCGCACGGCGTTCATCCAACCCTTTAGATTTCCCCCCATTATATAAGTGACAGAGAGACCCTGCAAGCCACAAAAGAAGGAAACCATGGCTGGCAATGCAGTGGATAGATGGTCTCTTCGTGGAACTACGGCTTTGGTCACCGGAGGCACCAAAGGAATCGGGTAATCTACATGTTCTATGCTCTTGAGGGACTCTCATCATTTCTAACTTGTTTGTGATTTCTGGGCAATATGAGTTCAAGTATGATGGTCAACATTCCAGGTACGCCATAGTTGAAGAATTAGCTAAGCTTGGGGCCGCGGTCTATACGTGCTCTCGGAACGAAGAAGAGCTTAGAAAGTGCCTGCAACAGTGGGAGGCAAAGAACTTTAAGGTCACGGGATCCATCTGCGACGTCTCATCTGCAGTGGAGAGAGAGAAACTGATGGAGAAAGTGAAGTCCGAGTTCGATGGAAAGCTCAACATTCTGGTAAGTATCGCAGGAGAAAGGATCCAAAGCAGTAGTAGATTTCTACCACTGATCCACCTGTTGTGTTTGTTCTTTGTGTAGGTTAGTAACGCAGGGACGGGCAGTATGAAGCCGGTAATGGCTGTCACCCTTGAGGAGTACAAGTTTGTGACGGGTACCAACTTCGACTCAGCGTTCCATCTGTGCCAACTGGCCCATCCTCTTCTCAAGGCTACAGGACGAGGCACCATTGTGTTCAACTCCTCCATTGCAGGCATGGTGGGCATAGATAATTTCAGTGTCTATGCAATGACCAAAGGTATAAATGAAGCTGGCAATTCGTCGAACACTTTCCTTCCATAAGCTGTTCGACATCATCGTCTTCTTCTTCTTCGTCTTCAGGAGCGATGAACCAGCTCACCAAGAACCTTGCTTGTGAGTGGGCCAAGGACAACATCCGAACGAACAGCGTCGCACCGGGATTCATCAAGACCCCTCTCATCAAGGAAGTAATGGCCCTCCCTCTTCACCTCGTTTAGCAATTTCCACCGAAACCCTTCGTGAAGTGCACAGCGGATGCATGCGTGCGACTGCAGAGTGCACGACGAAAGGTCCTCATGAACGACTGCGGTATGTACTAATGTTTGGCGTCCCGATCGCAGGCACTTGAAAATGAGGCGTATGTAGCGGCGGAGACTCGTCGTATCCCTCAAGGGCGTCTCGGTGAGGTCGAAGACGTGGCGCCTTTGGTGGCTTTCCTTTGCCTCCCTGCTTCTTCCTTCGTCAATGGCCAAGTCGTCGTCGTCGATGGAGGTCGGATTGTGAACGCCAACATCTGATGTCTCTGCGGCGGCTAATTCTTCTTATTCTTCTCCAATAATTGTTAGCTATGGCTAATAGATTACTACCATATGCTGACTGCCTCCGCATTCCGACGTGACATGCAATCAATAATAAATCGAATGTATTTGGGTGAACATAAAAAAGCTAAATCGAACATATTGGATATGCATGTTAACAAAAAAAAGATCCGACCCGCCGCGGTCATTAGATGAGCCCAAAGCGTGCCATTCATTGCTTTGCGACGTTGCGAACCTTTTTCCGTACGGCCCATCTCTTTATTGACTTGCGTCAACCAAAGTGCGGGTCTCGATCAAACGGCCCACGTCCGAGCGGCCAGTGGGCTCGTAAAAGGAACACCGAATCGAGTCCCCAAAAGAATCTCCCTCGCCTCGTTCATGAGCGAGTTCCCATTGCCGTGCTGTGGACCCCGCGTCGTCCTTTCCATACCTTGCGGTCGAAGAAAATTATATGGGGACGTGGGTCTGGGGCCCGCGTGCCGGGACTCGGCACCACTTGGGAGCGCGTTGGGAAAAGGAGGAGGGCGAGATCGGGCGAAGCAACCTCGGCTAATTCGCCGATGGATTAACGAGCGCCCCCACCACGCTCCCCGCCGTCTCGATCTATATGTACTCTCCACTTCACTTCGAGTTCGAGTTGGGGGAGAGGGAGCGATTGCGAGCCGGGATAAATCTTTGATTCGTTGGTTGCTCGATCGATCGATCTCGAGGATGTACTGATACGATTCGCTGCTGAACCCTTACCGGTGAGTAATCTTCCTCCCTCCATGCTAATCTCTTGATATTTGCTTCTTGTTATCCATCCGATTCGTTTTAGGTCGGCGGCACGGGGCATGGGTTCTAGGGAAGAGTTTTCTCTCTTAGGAGGATAAAGGCGTTTAGGGTTTCCATTATAATGGTAGGATCCATGAAGATGGGGGCTCTTCTTTCGGTTCTTTGGCTGTGTTAGTTTTGAACGGCATTTTCTTGCTGCGAGATTCTTGATCAGTTGAAGATTAGGTTCTTGAACGGCATTTTCTTGCTGCAAGATTCTTGATCAGTCGAGGATTAGGTTCCATTATACCTGTCAATGTCGGCTTATAAATGTATTATACACAGTACTGAATTGCCCCTTTTTAGATTTCTTAAAATAAACAACATGATAGATGCTAACTATGAGAGTTGGCCAATTGTGCACCCCATTGGATTCTAAAAGAGGTCCTAAAACCAATTTAATTTACCTTTAGAAAACTGAAGCTACGTCGAACACAAGTTTTAAATCTTAATTGAGATGTTAACTGATTACGTTTGGATGATTACTTAACATGAATGATCTAATCCGATGCATTGAATGATTGAACTCAAGATACATCCCTTTAAGACTGTAAAGATACAACAGTGTTGAGTTCCATTCAGCAGAGCTTTGATATTCTGTAAGCTTGTTCACAGGAAAAGTATTATTTGGCATCTTCCAGATCTTGTCTGAATTGAGCTTACGGACTACATATGCTATCCTCTGTTGCTGCCAATATCTTAATATTATGATAATTTTCATAACTAGCCTGTCTGGATCTTGCAGTGTATCTGTCGGTCAATCATCAATGGAATATTATAACTCTTCATCAATTTCCAGTGATAGACTTGGTGTGCTTGGGCTCTGTCTCAGAGACATCCTTGCTGAGATTAAACCAGAAGATAGTGATCGAATTAAACGGTTGAATGCAATTAATCAATTTTCAGATTATCTTAGAACTGTGCAAAGCTTGAGGGGTAATTTTTCTTGGTCAGTTGCTTTTATTTTTGTTTTCTTGTGCCAATGTAGTTGTTGTACTATCTTTTGACCTTTTCTCCACTGTAATTATAAAATGATATGGTGTAAAGCAATTACAATGATCTTCATGATTTAAATATACTGCTGGCGAAAATGCATCATGGTTTCTTCCAGTTATTGTGATTCTTAAGAGTTTGGAAGTTTATACTCATCATAATAAGAGAACCATATGGATGTTGCATTTTCACCGATGATGCTGCATTAGAAAAAGGGGGTCAAGCATGCCAGATGTGAGGTTAGTTTGTGAGTGGGATTTCGTCGATTCTTGACCATATTTAAGAAATTATGATTCATTTGGCTGACATTAACATGTTCACTGGAATAATTGAATACCATGAGATGCTTGAACTTAAAGAGTACGAGTGTGAATTTTAATCTCAATCAGGTCTCAAATTGAGTAGTGCACATTAAGTAGGAGTGTAGGACAAATCAAGTTCTCTCATATTGTGGACACTGTTAACATGTGGTGCATCTAGGATCTGAAAATTTAAAATTGATGTGAACATATTTTTTTACTTCTGTTTTTTCGTACTCCAATAAAGTCTAGGTTGTAGTGGTCCTATTTTACATCTACTGCATTGAATTTGTTGAACTATTTTGTTGCATTAGATCCACTCTTTTTTTTTTCTTGATATTTGTTGGTTTTCTTTTAAAAAAAACCTTAACTTGCTAGTTGAATCTCATCATACTTAGTCTCAGTTTTAAGTTTGAGACCATGACAAAATACGTGGCAATACAAAGTTGTATCTTTTAAGATTGAAAAAATGAAACTGACAAAGACGCCTTCATAAATAGCAAATCTCTTTTGAATTTGCCAATTCATAAGCCACTTCTCTCCCATTTATCTTGAAGAAGTAAATTTCAATGTTTTATGTGCATATGTATGTGGGTTATGAAATTTATAGCCTTATTTATACAGATTAATAATTACAATGAAAAATCAAATGGTTAGAAAATATATTGTTATATGGATTAGTGGGGATAGCTTCCATCTCTCTGATGCATTACTTACAATACATAATTATCATGCATTAGTTGATTCGATAGATGAAGAGAGGCATTTTTTTTCTATAAAAGCTTCTATCATAAACAGTGTTATAACTCTGATCTTCATGCACCTGTTTTTTTGAAGTATCAATCTCTAGAAGTTGGATGAGATAGTGCAGATGTGGTTTTATTTATTATCTTTTTCAAGAATACAAGTACATAAACCATACACATATCACTAGTATGTCACATTTTTCTTATGTTTCCAGTTGCACTTAAAAGCACCTGATTGCATTTGTAGGTGCTGTAGTAAGGCCATTTGGATCTTTTGTTTCTAATCTTTACACCAAATGGGGTGACCTAGATGTCTCTGTCCAACTTGATAATGGCTTGGGGGATTCTGCAAGCAAAACTGTTAAAAGGAATTTGCTCAGGGACATAATGAGAGCATTGCGAAGATATGGTAAGCAACTGTTCTTTTCTTAAAACTATAATTTTTTTCATCCTTGTCTAACTCCTCTCTCTGTGTATGGCTTCTGTGTGTGCCCTACTTTTCTGCAACCTCCCTGTCTTCTTTAACCAATTTATATATAATTTTTATTTTTCATTAAAAAAAATGTTATATCATTTATACTATTGAGTGTTCCAATTATTTATAAATCAATTAATCTCAACATTTCAGTTCCTACTCGACTTCAGTTATTTTCCTTGAAGCATACTGGTAAGTGTGTTCTTTGCGTCACTGAGGCACGTGCTTCATCTCATGAGTAGACTAATAGAGATGCTAGTGTCTTATTGTGCCTTGAGCCTTCGGACACCTTTGGTTGTAGACTTTTCAGAATGCTTATCCTTGCAAAAACTTCATCACCGGTAGCGTCGTTGAATTTGATTATATGATACTGTTAGATAGTATAATAGGTTTTCAAACAACTAAAAGCGTCATAGTCCTACTTAGTTCTGCTGCTAGTATGTGGCATCATCAAGGGTGCTTGAATGAGATATTGCACTTTTGTTTCTTTTACAGGTGTTGCTCGTTACATTCATTTCATTCCTAATGCGAGAGTCCCTCTGCTTATATTTGAAGGCAACTACCACAATATTTCTTTTGATGTCTCCATCGATAACCATCTTGGTATAATGAAGTCGAAGATCCTCCTCTGGATTTCTCAAATGGATGAGCGGTTCCGTGACATGGTTTTATTGGTCTGGCTTAGGTTTTCATGGAACAACTACTTTCTGTAGTTTCATCTTGGATTGTTAATTTAATTCCCTTTTTCAGACGAAGGAATGGGCCAAAGCACAAAACATTAATGATCCCAAGTCTGGAACTTTGAATTCATACTCACTTTGTTTGATGGTTATCTTCCACTTTCAGGTAGAACCTTGACCTTGTGATCCTTTCTGTCCTTTGCTTCAGACAGCAGCAGCTACTATTTAGCTGTTGATTTGAGACGATTAGAAATTTTGGATGCCCACAAAAATTTCTGCTTTTTATTCTTTCCTTTTGTTTTCAGACTTGCGAACCTCCAATTTTACCTCCGCTCAAGGAAATATATGGAGGAAACATTTCCGATGATATCACAGGTACAGATCATCTAGTCCTGATTTATGCGACAGCATGTGTTATTTTCTGACCATGTTCGCATATGTCTGACTTGCATACCAGCATACATAGATTTGTGGTGTGTTTTGTGATTGTGACCATGGCACAGATATGCGTATATAGGTTTACAAGCTAGCATACACAAAATGAGATCAGGTTGCTTACATGAATGATAAGTTGTTTGCACATGTCTGTTTAATGCAGGATGGAGTTCCATTTCCGAGAGGCACATCGAGGATGTATGTGCTGCGAACATAGAAAGGTTTCGGTCCCGAAATTTCAGGCGGAGAAACCAAAGCTCTCTTGCTCAACTTGTGGTGTCTTTTTTTGATAAGGTATTCCCATTCACCTACACTTGCACAACATTTAGTAATCAATATGACAAGCCAGGAACCAGGCATTATTAGCTGAGAGCTTCCTCTAAGCTACATCAGTCTGGACAGGAACTACCAGCATCATTTATTACCTTCTCACGAGGCATTAAAACTTTCTAATAAAGATTTAATCATATCTTTATGCAGTTCTCTGAAGTCGAAACCGTAGCTTCAGAATATGCCATCTGCACACATACGGGTAGATGGGAAAGAATCGACAGCAACCTGGGATGGGTCAGAACATCACGTAGCATGCTTGTAAGATTGTCCTGCACCAAAAAAGAGATTACTAGCCATATTTCTCTGTGTTTGTGTTGACACACATCATGAACTCTTTTCCCAGTCTTTACTGACTATATTGTTTTGGATGTCAATGAACACCTTTCGTTACAGATTGAAGACCCCTTCGAGCGACCAGAGAATGCGGCTAGAACTGTTGGCCCGAGTGAACTACGTGTAGTATCGAACGCATTCACGGATACATACAATAAGCTTTCTTCTAGTTCCATGCTCGCTAATCGCAACTCCTTGATCTCCAGTTTATCCAGGCCTCGCGTTAGTTCACAGCTTGGAGTGCGCTCAAGGGTGCATTATAATACTACCGGGACCGCAGCAATCGATTCTGTTGTCCTAGACCGGTTTGAGAATGTGATGAGACTGGATAGGCAATCTCACGCCTCGACTTCTGCTGCGACAGTCTCACGGCGAGCTAACGAGAATAATACCCTACGTTGGTGACCGCAACATCTTAACTTCTCTTATCTGGGGCTTGCAATTAGTGACTGGCTTTAACTTTTAATTGGAATATGGTTGTTGCCAAACCTGGGAACAAGTTGTATTTCAGAACTAGGATCTTTGTGGTTTTAGCTTTAATTTTATGATTTTGAGCTGGGCGGAAATCCTCTCTTTTCTCGTGGACATCTATAAAAAAGAGTATGATGTATATAAATCTTTTTCAGTTACGTACGATTCTATTAAAATGTTCAAAAGAGTAGGATGAATTATCAAAAACCAAAAAGAGGCATTCATTACACAGAACACATCAATTTTAAAGGTTTTCATGACATTACTTTTATCCAAATATATTTTAATTCCCTGAACCGATAAAAAAAAAACCCACCTAAGAGTAAAAGGCAAAAAAAGAAAAAAGAAAAAAGATGCACTAACCACATCCTTAAGCTAGTATTCAAATTAAAAAAATAAAAAAAAAGAATCACTTTCGAGAGAGAATCCAGGAATTTAAAAAATGAATAGGATCTACCATGGAAACCTGATAGAGCATGAGCATTTCGAAATGCTGCTCATACATACAAATACTATGATCAAGGTTCCCACAAACCTAGGTAAAAGTGGATACTAGAAGAATGTAATTTAAAGATCACCATTGGTAATTTACCAGTGTAAAACGAAGAGAAGTTTATCAAAAATAAGTTCCCAAACTCCCAATATTTTCAAACAAACGACATAGTAGTCACCGTAACCTTTTTCATGCTGTAAACTCAGCAAAGTACTCTGGCTTCTGTAGAAACAATAAGAACAACCAAAGATGCACTTCTCAAACTAACAATTATTATAAATGACCACAAACCTTTCCAATGCCATGTCGGATGCAAAACATCATTAAAACTTAAACCAATCAAGCCTGCTTACCAATTCCATTGGACATGTTGTAAACCCCACGTCCCTGTTCATCAAAGAGAACATCAGTTTAGTTGTACCGACAATAAATAACTAGGAAAAAATAAGTTTAGAAAAAAAAAGAGCCACGGACAATGAGGGCCAAGCAAGAGCCTGCCAATGCTAGAGGGATTGCGACAGACGTTATTTTATCGAAACGTCCTTTCAAATACGTATGCCTATGAACGTGCTGAAAATATTGCTGATGCTTCAGAAGCCTCTCCCTGGGCACGAATGGTAGTTCCGTCATCCTGCATAAGCAAAAGATAATAAAATGAACACAGAATTCTGATCTCAAATGTTTGGTGTAATCATAACGTCTAGAGGCGTGTAAATCCCATGACAGGTGCAGAAGCTCAAAAACAAAACATTATTCTAAGTAGGATTCCACTTCACCGTTGTTACCAACAGTACTTCACACAAAACCATCATACACTACACATGGCATAAAGATACAATAAACTTGTTGCATGATGCTAAATAAATTTATAGTCCCCAAATCAAATTTGAAGGAGAGCTGTCTGTATATCCTCAACGACAGCTTTTTTGTTCTATATTTAATAGAACAAATCACCTAAATTCTTATGGTATAAATCCGAAGAGAAAATGCTAAATGATTTGGCAAAAACTTAATGTTCCCTTTGAAAGGATAAACGGATATTACGTATCAGCATCCTGTTTTTTTTTTTTTTTTTTTTTTGAACATACAAAAGTAATGGTAGGACTTGACCGAAACAACATTAAAGCTCAAGGATCCAATTGGAAAACATTGATATTTGAAGACTGAATGAAATTAGACTCCATTGACTAGGGATTACAACTACAATTTATGTACTACAAAGAGAACAAAATGAAGACAGGCCACGATTCCTAATACCTACAGACAATATAGATTCAAGGGATAATATTCATGATTTCTTAAATATGACAGCATATTACGTTGATATGTAACCAAAACAATATGCATACAACAGATTGTGCTTGTGATGGCATTTTTTTTTTGGGTAGAATCAAACGTAAAGCTTTGAGGAATTCGACAAAGTTCACCATTACAAGAAAACCATTAAACCATCTGGATTAAGCAAGATTCTTGAGAATCCGTATACGATCGTGATGCCAAAGTTCAAGATCCCTTTGACGGCGAAAAGAGATCTCCCGCATCAAAAACGACCACAGATCAAAACGATGAACGACAAATAAAACGAATACATAAACCAAGCCATGGAAACAAGATGTCTCCCATCACAGATCCGCTCCGTTAGATAGTCATACACGGATCAGGGGAAGGCTGCGCACGCGAGGAGAAGGAAGAAAGAAAGAATAAAGGCTCAGACGATCGATCGGACATTAGGGCAAAGGCCGATCGGCCGATCGGCTTCTCGTTGTGGCGGAAGAACTCAAATCCAATGATCGAAGAGCAGCATTGGAGGAAGAGAAGGGTTTACCTTTGAATTCAAGAAAGAGGAGGCAATGAGGGCGAAAAGGAGCCGAACGCTCACGCGATGATTCCATATATTATAGAGCCGGTGTCAGAAAGTATCATCTGCACCGTTCATACAATGTAAAAACCATCCTGACCGTCCACTACCTAAGCTCTTTTCTCGATAAGTATATTATTGAAAATATAGAATACTCAATATGTATATTATTTTAAATACTTAAAAACTCTTATTATCATAATATATACTATTAAATAATATATTAATGTTAAATAGTTTTTAAAACCGATTTGCTCCAAAAGTTTTATTTTTTTCGAAAAATATTGTTTTTAAATTCGAGTTAATAACTTTTTAAATGATGAGATTATCCTTCATTTTCATCCCATAATCTCGATTTTATTATCGTGGTACTCTCGTTCATTGTCTTTATCCTCTCTTCTGTTCACTTTTACTATCACTCTTATTTGCCATTATCATAGACTCGATGGTCCGTCATGTCATTTCTTTAAGGGAGTCGACATACTTTGAAAGAAATCATCAAATCATCCACGCTCAATAACGTAGCCACCATAGTTAACCCCAACCCCAACTACTACCGGTAGCAAGTCACTTGCACCAAGTTCAAGCATAAGCGCTAATCATTCATCGATCTCAATCATTATTGTTTAGATGGCCTCCCCCACCCTATTGATAAATCCCACATATTTGACTCTCTTGAGCTAACGAGCAATGATGCACTATAGAATTTACGATAAACAATGGATGAGAGACAAAGGTGATGGGAATAGAAAAATGATAGAGACGACAAATGACGGGTAAAGATCGACATAGCGTAATCTAGAGGTACTCTCATCTTTTAGAAAATAAAGGACGCCCTATTAATGAAATAGTAATATCATATTTTAGATGATAATCTCATCTTTAAAAAAATATTTTTTAAAAATAATTTGTCCCGCTCTATTAATGAAAGGATAGAAATTTTTGAAGGAATAGATAATAAACTGTCGGAAAAAAGAACAGCTCTTGTTAAATTTCACTATGTTCAAAAAAATTAATGTTATTACCAATATCAGTGAAAATAAAATATAATCTTACTTTATTGAAGTAAAATTGAATCAACTAAAGAACAAACAAAATACATCATACAAAAGGTAAAAATCATAATTTATATATCTTTTTATGGGCGAAGAAATATACTATATATTCAAGCGGTTGGGAGACATAATCTGCTAACACAATGGTGAAGGATTTGAAGACCCAACAAAGCAGAAATCTAATCTGGCAGCATAATATGGAATTCATATATCTTAAAGTAAATTGGGTCATTTCCTAATAACCTAATTTTCCAGAATTTTTATAATCCCTCCTTTTTTCACCCATTTTTATTCAATATCTGTATAATTATCACCTTCTCTTTAATTGATTTACACCATATTAATTATAGTTGACAAATAAAATTTCATATAGATCGGAAAGTTTTTATCGATTTCAAAACAAAATTGAGGCCATATGGATAAATCATTTTCATAAGTCATAGATAAAGTATAATAATAATTAATCTTGTTGTTGCTTGAATACCGTCAACCGTGAGTTAGTGTGGTTTGGTCTTGACCTGATGGTGTGAGGTCATCCAAAGAATCATTATGATGGTCTTGCGAGTTAGTTGGTGGGCATCGAGGTATCCGAGGTGACTTTCGAGGATGCGAGGTGGTCCCAAGATTGAGCTGAGGTGGATTTCGATCTTCTTGATGAGTTCCTACATGAAGGTTAGCATTAAGAAAAGTTTTCCGACCCAATCCCTTTGATGCTCAAGTTAGTTCTTTATGGATTATATGAGATGTGAATGGTTTGTAGAGAGAGAGGTCCACAACCCCTATATAAGCGTAGGGGATTGACTTTTATATCTGGGTGGTCGAGGGGACCGTCATAACGTCCTTTCTTTGATGTTTTGCCCACGAGAGTGACACACCAAAACGATCTCTTATAAACTATCGTCCATGAAGGTCAACTGAGGAATAAGCCTGAACAACCATATGGAGCTCACTGTCTACGGAGGTCGATAGGATCAATCAGAATAACTTTTATAGCAACCAACTGCCCGATTTATCTGGTCAGAATATTTTCTATCAAACCGAGAGGTAATGAATTATACCCTCGAACAATTTGAGAGCTTAAGAGAATGGATGCAGAAATCAATGACTACATCATAATTGTTTAATTATTCGTATAAATGACAAGCCTCGTTCGAAAACAACGTCCGATCGTTATCCCCGTTGGCTTCTCATCTACGCTTCTTCTGGAAGCTTCCAATCCCAATGCCAACGCACTCCAAGCTAATTGCGTAACGGCACAACGAACCCCTCCGCCGTCCCGTCGGGCTCGCCACGTGTCCAATTGGTGGCCATTATTGCGGTATCGCGTTGGGGCGTGGGACGAAGCAGCGGCCGACACGGCATCATTTCTCCAAGGGTGGGGCCCGTGAGGTTCCAGAAGCGTCCCGGGAATTCCTGGTCCTGAACGACGCCGTGCATCTGGCGGAGCGTCTTCTTGCCACGTGTCAGGGCCCACCACAAAAGACGTCCTACGTAGACCGCCTAGCGCTGCAGGAATGGATACGGGCCGCATTGGGGATCGCCGACTGCTTTTATGACATTTGGTGGCCTTTAGTCCTATGGGAGCAGATAGCAGCAGTTCGAGAGCGAGGTCGAAGTCGCAATCAAGATCGAGGGAAAAGGAACTATTGATCGATAGATTGGGAGAGGGCGGTGATATGAACGGTGGGGAGGCGGGAGGAGGAGGGAAGGAGATGGAGGAGGACAGGAAGGAGGTCAGGGGAGCGGCGGCAGATGATGAGATGGTGAAGGAGGAGGAGGGAAGGGCGAAGGAGAAGTCGGTGCTGATGTGGGGCTACCTTCCGGGAGTGTCGCCGCATAGATCGCCGCTTCTTTACCCTGTTGCCGTCCGAATGCCGGATTCGGCCGCCAGAGACCGGTGGATGGATGTCAGCGGCGGCGGATGCGGTTTCGCCATGGCCATTTCTGGTGTTTTCCTCTTCTTCCACTCTCCTTTCCCTCGATCTCTTCTCTCTGGCTTTGTTTAACAAACCTTGTCGTCTTGTTTTTCCTATTCGCTTTTCCTTCCTAATGTTTTGGATGATAAATTTATTTTTGGGGGTCCTCTGTGTAACACTCCAAGCTTAGTTAGAGATTGAAAGTGGAAGATTTGTATTAACTTATATAGGCTTAATGAATCTACTATTATTAGTTTAGTAAGTATTTTAGGCCTGTGGTTCGGACTCAACGAGTTAAAGAGTCAGTCATCTATCTATCACGTTAGATCTGATAAATGATATTAGAGCGATTTAGTATTGGATAATATTAATCTTCGTCAAGAACGTCAAGTCCTTTGATCTGATTGACCACAAGAAGAATAACAGAGCTGAAAATACATTTCCAATTTCATATTGTTAAAAATCCGTTTTGAAATTTGTTGCTGCTTTTCTTGTCAGTCCAAAGAGCTTGTCTATAATAGCCTTGTTGCTGAACCTTGTGGTTATGCTTGAGAAATATGTTTGAACATTTCTTCTCTTAGAATTGAATGTTGATCAACTAATGACTTGACTCGTGCTGTGTTCTTTCTTGTATCAGAGTCAGGCAAGCTCTTTACATGGGGTTCAACAGATGACATGGGCCAAAGCTATGTTACTTCAGGAAAACATGAGGTCGTCATGCTTTGTTCTTAATATATTTTTTTTCACCGTATGGATCTTCTGAAGTGATGAACCTCTCGTTTTGCATTTACCAGGAGACACCGGAGGTATTTCACCTTCCAACTGAGGTGCCCATTGTCAAGGCAGCTGCAGGATGGGCTCACTGTGTATCAGTCACAGGTGCCATACCTATTTAAACTTTTTGTTGATATTGGGTAGCACATATTACTTGTTAAGAAAGAGAAAATACCTGTGGGAAATCGAGATCTGTAGGTTTCATCTCTTAACAAAGATAGCTATCGTTGAGCCTTTTGGAAACTCAAATTTTATTTTCCTAGGCCAGCTAATGGAGAAGTCTATACATGGGGATGGAAAGAGTGTGTGCCAACTGGGAGGATTGTCAAAGAACAGTCTTACTCTGGAGGAACCTCAGAAAAAGAAGAAAGGCATAGTGGATCATTGAGTGATCAAGGTGATTAATAATTTTCTTGCCTATGAGAGAATTTATAATAAGAATTGACAATCTTCTTTAATTTAAGATTCATTTGGATCTGTATCTCTGGCTTTTCCGTTGCAGTGAGCCCAAGGTTGCAGGGCTCAAGAATTGGTGGAGTTGTTTCAGAATTTGATACTGGATGTGGTGAGAAGAATAGTAAGCGGAGAAGGCTATCTTCAGCTAAAGTGGAACCAGAAAACAAATCATCTAGTGAAGAAACTCTTTCAGCTCTTCCATGTCTTGTAACTCTTGACACAGGAGTCCGTATCGCGAGTGTGGCTGCTGGTGGACGCCATACACTGGCATTGTCTGGTACGCCCATTTCCTTTACTGCCAGGTTATGCAACTACATATCTCTTCTACACTCTTACGTGGTTCACATCGCTTATAATATTTTCTATTTTCTTTATTCTCATTAGATAGGTTTCTTAATTGAGGAAAAACAAATGATAATGCATTATATTTTTCTCTAAGTTTCAGATGTAGGCCAGGTCTGGGGTTGGGGATATGGAGGGGAAGGGCAACTTGGTTTAGGATCTCGTATCCGGAATGTGTCTTCTCCTCATCCGATACCTTGTGTAGAGTCAGCTTCTTTTAGTAGAGACCAACCATCAGCAGCTACCCAAGGAAAACAAAGTCTAGATGGACAGGCTTATAAATGCATGGGAAGCTGTGTAAAGGCCATTGCTTGTGGAGGTCGTCACAGTGCTGCAGTTACAGGTCATAATTATTCACTAGAGTTTTGCACTTATTTTTTTGACAGTAAGTGCTATTCTTGTCTTACTTGACTAGTGATTTTTAAATTGATGGTATTTAGACATCACATTCGCTCATGTAAATGCATGGATCTATGTGTGTGGTATGTAAGTATATGTAAATCTGCGTACATGTTGTCGTTGTCTATCTTGTCTTCGTACCTTTAAGTTTCTAGGTGAAAAAAAAAGGTGGAAGACATCAGACCATAGCATATTACATTTACGTTAATATATACTTTCGACATACAAGCAGCAACCAAAAATATGCTGCTAGATGTTGCAATAAGTATAATTAGTATTAAGCATATGCTCATATAAAATAAAAACAGGGTAAGTTGTATTTGGAATAAAAGTTCAGATGTAAGCTAAAAACACTAACACATATGAATGTCGATAGATATTTGAAAATTGCAACAAATTACAAGTCTATGAATTAGATAGTTTGTAAATCATGTCATATTTAGCTTAATGTTCAAGAATTTCGAGGAAACTGGATAAATTCAATAGTATGACAAAGGTATGAAAACATCATAAGATGTCACAATATGAGTGGACAATAGCTAGTAGGCATTTGATCTGTTCATTGTCACACGTGTTGATTTATTAATATTGATTCTCAGCTTCATTTTTTAATTATGTTGTGCTGGCAGATACAGGAGCTCTACTTACTTTTGGGTGGGGACTCTATGGACAGGTTAGCCTCCTCTTTATTCCCTTTTCTGGTAATTTGATAATTTATTTGATGACATTACATTTTTCTGCATGATTATTAATTTTTCCTGGAACTCTCTCAGCAATAGATTGTAGTTATAATAACATCTGTATATCCATTGTGGATCCATGTTATTTACCCATGGCCATGTCCATCTGCAGCAGCAGTTGATTTCTCTTTAAAACTTCTCTTCCATGCTTGGTTTTAGATTGTACTAATACTGAAAACTTGAGTTAAAAGGTTTCATGAAAGTCAAGATTTGGTTTTCTCATTCATTTCGGAAATGGTAAAGCGATGGATCATGCTACCTTTTAATTTTATAATGAGTCAGCAAAGGTATTCAAAGACATGGAAGGAATTGCTGGTTTGGAATATATTACATTCTAATTCGGGTACCTTGCTCTTCAATCTGAATTATTTTTGTATGAACTTGTTCTCAAGTATTAACCGTTCTCCAGGATTAACATGTAGGCATTGTAGAAAAGATGGAGAAAAAGCAAACTGTAATGTCGAAGATGAGATCCACTGTAACATGGGAAATTGCCTTTTTTTAATCTCTCGACTGTGGATTTCCTTTGCAGCATATAAGGAAAGAATAAACTGATGCTTTTGTTTTTTTCTTCCTTTTCCTTCTTATATGCCATTTCTAATCAGTGTGGACAAGGAAGTACGAATGACCAGCTGAGCCCAAAATGTGTATCATCTCTATTGGGTGTCAAGATACATGAAGTTGCTGCTGGCCTGTGGCATACCATCTGCACTTCTGTTGATGGTGGTGTGTTTTCCTTTGGTGGGAATCAGTTTGGGCAGCTAGGAACTGGTTCTGATCAAGCTGAGGTATAGTCTCCATATGATGCATTCACAAACAATTCACGTTTTTTGCATAACAATGATTGCAATGTCATGGCTGCCTGGTGCAACGTGCCAATAGCTATTTCACAAATCCTTTGCATTTCAAGTTTAAAATGTTTACGAGTGAAGAGAGAGAGAGAGAGAGAGAGAGACCGTACACTAAGAAACAACTAAAAGAGAGATAAAAAGGAAAACTGTGATCTCTTAATAACCGCAAGTAGGTTGTTGTGGCACAGACTCTGGTTTATTTTTCTTGCCAAATGTTAAATGTAGATGGAAGTTTAATTTAACAACAAACTCATGTTATTTTCCTATGTTCCTCTCAGAAAATGAAATATGCATCATTCATCAAAGACCCAATCATGCCCCATGTCACACAGAACTTGAAGTCTCTGTGTTTGATATATTCTTTTTCTGGAAAAATAGAATTCAATGCTTACTAGATAACATCTGAGGAGGGTCCAAAAAAATACTACAATGCTGAGAAAATGGATGGGAAATGCAGTAAAGGACCAAAAAAAAAGGAAGGGGGGGGGGGGGGTTTGGGTTTTCAGGAACTCAATATTTGTATTCAATATTTTCATGCAGGGAATAGGCCAAATCAAAATCCTTTTATGACTGAAATCTTGAATAGTATATGTTTTTGCATGCATGATTCTATTTGTAAGAAAATTGATGAATGTGCTGTGACTCTTAACCTCAATTAGGCAAGCTAAGGTCGTGTTGTAGCCATGTGAATGATGAAATAGGGACAAATTACTTCTTTTATAGATTCACCTCACTGGACTTCTCCCTTTTATATAACCAATCGTATGACTCATTGGAGCAATTAGGATACACCTGGCACAAGACATCCATTATCATTATAAGAGTTAATTTCATGATGGAGTATTATCTGTACTATCTTATTATAGCAACTTGATACTGGTGCCTAAATTTCTTGTGGTGACAGACTCTTCCCAAGCTATTGGATGCTCCATGTCTGGAAAACAAGAGTGCTAAACGGGTCTCTTGTGGAGCACGTCATACTGCCGTGATGACAGGTAATTACTTTCGAGCCTATACGATCATTCTACTTTGTTTAGCTTCTAGAATATGCTTATACCTGCAAAATTTTGAAACCAAAGCCATGGTGTCAACTGCTTCCTGTAAGGATATATGTTCATATGTTCCTTTTCCTTAGGCAAGGTAAATGGGTGATTACTGTCAGACATATTTGCATATGTTAAAGAATTTAAATGCTGCAGCCCGTACCCCAATTTCTTTTTGCAAATGTATCTGCCAGAATAAGTTTTCATAGTTAAAGCAAAACGTTGCATGCAGGGCACCCCACTTGTAGAATAAGTGGTGATTTCTGCTTCTGCAGTAACATTATTGTTTCTTTGATAGAGCTATAAGCTTATGGATTTCTATTATAATTGTCGTATTTTCCTTGATCCATAAAACAAATTAAATCACTAGACACACTGCTGGAAGTAGCTCCAACAGTTGTTACTTTGCCTAACTAGTACAACATTCCTAGAACATTTTATTGTGAGCATAGATACTACTACCTGTGGTGTTGCAGGAGATGGACAAGTATTTTGCTGGGGATGGAACAAATATGGTCAGGTATCATCTCTTAGCAAATTTAAGATCTGCTTCAACTTCAGGTCTCGGTTTAGATTTACCAATACGTCTTTTGTATGGACAGCTTGGTTTAGGAGACGCAACTGACAGAAACATTCCCTCTTTGGTTCCGATCAACAACTATCAACCTAAAAATGTATCTTGCGGTTGGTGGCATACATTGGTTCTATCGGAATCTCCAACGTGAAGCTCTACTGTTCCAAAAACACTTATCACAATTTTGTAAGGTTCATTAGGTTTTCAACTTATTATATGTACAAATATGTACATACCAGTCGACGGCAGCCACTGTTCGGCAGCCACTGTGTCACATATTTAGGCATACGGTTGGTAGCATGTAAGCAGCAAAACCAGTCATTTAGCTTTCTGCCTCTTACTAAACTATGTTGTACAGTAATAATGGTTTGATCAAAGTTGCTGTTAATAGATGCCGTCATGACATTTGGCCCAAATTGTGGCTTTTCCTATTTTCTTACCACGGAAAAGCCATATGTTTTCTGACATTATTAACTTCATATCTGTAATGGTTTTTGGTCATAATTGCTGCTTTGTACCTTCTTTAAACATAACTTTCAAACTCGTGATGTTTAGTAAAGTCTCTCTTTCTCTTTGTTTATATAAAAAAAAAATATAAAAATATTGATTGTCATATCTTTGATTCACCAAGTCAAATTCTATATTTGTTTTTAGTAGTGCTTGTGCTAAGTTTCCAACCTCTCTCTTCTCTGTCTTGGCAGATGTAATTTAAGATGGATTCGGATCGGACAAACAAGTTTTATGTGATGCATATGATGTCAAAAGAATCAATCATTATCAGAAAGGTAAACCCCAACTGCTCTCTTTTTGACGCTTCCACGGATCAGGCATGCAGTGGCGCGTCATCCTGGAGTTCCTCCTAATCCCCCCCCAACGACGGAGAGTTCTCCAGTGTAGAAAGAATCTTTTGATGCAACACTGTGTCGATAGATAAGATCAAATCAAACACTGCTGCATTTGCAGTGGCAATTCTTAATCATTTTCAATCTTTTAATTTTTATTTTTTCTTGTTGACTAAGAAATGCCAGTTGGTTGCTTGCATCACAAGTACTTCTACTATCTTATCTTGATCACATCAGCAAGGTTATTAGAGAATTCAGCTGAGTTATCCGTTTACATCAAAGTATCCATCCACATCACTCTTAACCACCAGAGCACACAGGTTTGTGTGAATCAACCACTTGCCATGGATTCTCTTCACCTTTCCTCCCATCTCTGTCCTTCTTTGATGCTTCATCTCATACTGTCAGCAATAAATAATCTGCTTTACATCACATAACACAAAAAATGGGAAACACATCTTTTCGTTCCATCTTCCTTAACAGTCCTCTTTTACTTCTTTTTGCTTGCTGATGTGCTTGAAACGAGGACAGATGTTCTCCTTCACCCGATCACAAGCTGTACACCATTTAAGTTGGGGTGACATATCTCCAACCTTGCACTCATTTGCAGCCACAAGGGTGTCATGGTGTGCAATTGCATCCAACATGAAACCCTAAAATATTTGACATATGAACTCATGTGTGTTATATTAATGCAGTTTAGTCTTGCATTGTTGAAACATGATTCATTGAAATCAAGTGGTGGCATGGAGTTCTCAAAATTGCCACACATAAATGAAAAAGCCAATTCCAATTTCCAGATGGTTAGATACATTTCAACAATGCTTTCAGTGTCAATTCAAGATGTGACACAATGGTTTCAAGCTATGGAGAGAGCTGCCCAATTTAGAGTAACACATTAATTTCCCATTTCTGAGAGGTAAAATCCTGCACAAAATCTTAAACACAATCTGAAAGGAACATGTCACCAAAACATAGCAAACTGCACATCTATTGGGGTTATCTGATGATAATTATGTTGGAAAGAGGATGAGGACTCCAACCTAACCCTGGAAGTATATCCAATAAAATTGGCAAGATGTTCACAGAAGCAACTACGCAGGATGGACCAAAGACCAATCCTTCGACTTTATGCTCCTCCAAAAGACCAAATTGGTGTTGCATCGAGAAGAAGTTGCCGTTCCTGACCATTTGCTGCAGCCAGCTTTCTCATACAATCTTTCTACCTCTGTCTATTTAAGCCAACCCCTTCCTACTTTGGTTTCTCTTCAGGAGAAGCACAAGCTTCTTTGCTCTTATCCTCCCCTCCCCCCCCTACTGTTCGACCAAAAGTGTACTTTCTTCTTCTCTCACGATGGAAGGCCTCATTCCCTTCGTGTACAGAGCCATACTGCACTACGCCCATGGCGAGGAAGCTCCTTCGAGGAATTCATGGCTCGACGAGTCACCCTCAGCTTCTTACATGAGATTGCCTGGTGACTCCGGCAGGCTTCGTTACCCGGAGATCCACCTCCTTTCGTCCTCGCCCCCGGCGGCCGCGCCCGCTTCAGCTACGACGCAGTCGCTCACGCGGCGGTCCGCCTCGCCCCGAGTGGCTTAAGGGATCACGAAGGTGACCGAGTCCAACACCGTGGCTTTCTTGGCTCGACTGGAAGAAGGTCAACGCATGTTGATTGCCCTCCTGTTTGTTCCTGCTGCTACGAGTAGTAAGTATTACCACAGCATGTGAATGATTGTTGTGGCAAGCTCTTTCTCTCTATCTCTCTCCTTTGTGTTGGAATAAGGCATGGATCTCCCAAGGAGTCAACACCATCAATCAATGGTAACTGTAAAGATCTTGAGAAGGAACAGTAGTGTTAATTCTTGTAAATATTAGGTGGTTGGGTTGTGAGGATCTTCCTTCTGATGTTCTAAAGTGAACAGAGAAATTATAGTATTTGGTCCAGATTTCATGAATTTGCCTTTTCTTGTTGTTGTTGTTGTTGTTGTTGCTCAGAACCAAAAGTCAAAATGTTTATGATGGATTTCATAGGTTCCATTGACCTGTGACAATTCTATTTGAACATTCAAAGAAAGATGATTAATGGTAGAGGATGAAGATATCTGTGGTAGATTCACAAGACTAGTAAAGATATGCTTAATGAAGTAATATTAGGAACAATAAAATGCATGCATATTTAAATAGATGTAGTTGAGCATGCTGAAGCTCAATGTTAATCATTAACATGAGAGGAGTTTTGGTGGTTAAAATGTCAAAATTTTGAGAAATATGTAGTGAATGAAAAGGTCACAATCTTACAAACCCAATCAATAATCTTGTGATTTCTGTCTTAGTGTGTTTAGAGACCATATTATTCCACAGATTCCCTTGGATTCCTGTGAGAGAAACTGCATTTTTTTCTTGTATTAGTTCTCATAGAGCAAATTTGTGTTTAAAGCAACAAATCAAGTTTTATATGTATCGGTATCGGTATCGATGAGAGTCTAATTTGTGGGTACTTTAAGATAATCAGATTAAGAATAAGCACCTCTCCATAGTTCTGAAAGCTAAATGCATCACTTTGTTCATTTTTCCAAATGGATCAGATCAGAGTCTAATCTGTGGGTACTTTGAGATTAATCAGAACATCTCCACAGTTCTGAGAGCTGAATACAGCACTTTATTCATTCTTCCAAATGGATTAGATCAGAGTCTAATATGCACATCTCCACAAATGCAACAGTTTATTCATTCTTCCAAATAGATCAGATTAGAATCTAATCTGTGGGTGCTTTGAGATTAATCAGACCAAGAATAAGCACATCTCCATAGTTCTGAGAGCTGAATCCAGCACTTTGTTCATTCTTCCAAATGGATCAGATCAGAATCTAATGTGTGGGTCCTTTGAGATTAATCAGACCAAGAAGAGCTGAATGCAACACTTTTTATTTATTCTTCCAAATAGATCAAATTAGAGTCTAATATGTGAATACTTGAAGATTAATCAAACCAAGAATAAGCACATTATTACAGTTCTGAGAGCTGAATGCAGCACTTTGTTCATTCTTTCAAATGGATGACTCTAATCCATTGGTACTTTAATATTAATCAAACTAAGAATAAGCACATCTTCGAGTTCATTCTTCCAAACGAAGGATTGTAGGTATAGAACTGTCAGTTCACTATTCACCAGTGTTATGTACAGTACAAGCACTCAGTGTGTTGGCCACTTACATCAATGTGGTCATGAGGTTCTTTTTTTGGTGTTTGATAAGAATCCCCACTGCACTGCTAATTCTTTTCATCTTTTGGTTGTATCAATTGCATTATATATATGTAATCACAAACATTAATTGAACATAAACAGGCAAATACATTCTATCATGCTTTCTGTCTTTTGATTACTTCCTCCAAACTCCTACCCAAAACACATTTTGTCTTCATGTTTTAAGGCCCAAAGAATGAATGTCTCACTATTATCATTGTGTGATGAAATTATTGGTCTCACATGAATGATGAAGAGAGTGGCAGTGTGAGCATCTCCTGCACAAATAACTTTACATAAAGACCATATAGTGGTACACAATTATTTCTGCATACATTATAGATTGCAGGAGGAAGCCTCCATCACAAAGAGACCTTTGTGTGAGCATCCTATTTCAAGCCATAATATTTATTCTATATGATCATAACAATTAAGATACATCTTCACATCTTTTGATTTAAGAAATGCCAGCTGGATATGAAATTACTATGCTATATTATTGAGAAAGTCATCCAAAGCATGAGAAGTAATATTTACATGGAAATTGGTGATGCAAATGGCTGTAAAAAGGTCAACGCTGACCTCTAACTTTAGATCAAGCAATATTAGATCCCTTAGAATCTCTAGAAAAGCTTTGAAAACTTCTCTGATCTCTCTTGACACAGTCATTACATGATGATTGATCGCCATGTGATTTGGCCTTTGAAATCCTCGTCATTAGATGATTGCCATGTGATTAGGCCTTTGGAAGCCTCGGTAATGCGTTTTTCTATTGCATACAGTCCAATGACAGCCTATCTCCAGTTGAAGGTTGGTGAAGGTGAAACTTTGACTTGTTCATCTCTTTTCCTCATATTAAAGAGTTCATTTGATCTCCTAATATAGAAGAAGATTACATCAAATGAATTCATACTCCTCATTTCATTCCATTGTTACCGATGTTTAGTGTTTAATTTATTTTTTTTTCCTTTCGTCGTCGACGCTTATAATTATTTCTTATTGTCATTCAATCCGTATTCGAATGCCTCTTATAATTTTTCAAGTATTTTTTCCTCTATTAATCAGTTTTTCTTTTCGTATAATTAATACTTGTATAAAGTCAAAGGTAGACTGATTCCTTGTTAGTAGTTATGGAATAAGAACAATTTGAAGTTTCTTTTCATATTATAAAATTTATTATTATTATTATTATTATTATTATTTTAAAAAAATAAAAAAAATTATTAAATAGCGTATAAGATGTTATATATATATATAATATTTAAAAACATATAAAATGAGATTTCAAGCCTTTAATTTTATGAAAATAAAATGATACAATGTGCCACGTGGGAAACTCTCTGCCACTGAGTTAGCTAAAATAATTATCATGTCTAATATACCTATATTTCAGCAAAATGAAAAAGGGCAAAAAAGGGATTATATATTTTTCCTATTTAAGGAAAAGAGAAAAAAAGGGGGGAAAAGCTTAATTCCGGCGGGTGCTATAAAAGGGAAGGGGTGGTAATGGTTGCGGTCGTGTCTCGGCCCTTCGCTTCGCATCGTCTGTCGAGTCCCTTTGTCTTCTCCCTTCGATTTCTCGATAGGGAGAGGAGGGAGAGCGGAATAGTGGTCGGTTCTTTGTCGCCGAGATCTGCGCCCTGCTGCCGGAACTCCAACCAAGATCTCTTTTTGGTGAGATATCTCTCCTCTTCTTTTGTGGGATCGCGTTTGTTTTGCTTTTCTTTAAGCTGGATCTTGGTTCCGATCCCGCGCGTTCTCGATCTTCTGCTTGGTTGGGTCGCAAATCGAGATTAGGGTTCTCGATGTCGAGGTGGACGTGAAATGCGCGGAAATTTTTTAGGTTGGAGGAACCGTCGTGCTTTAGGTTGACATCTTTGTGCTGCGGTTCGATTTCGGGTTTTGGCAGTTGATGGGGTGTTTATATCGTTCGATTTAGTAGTTTTGGGGAGAAGAATCGATTTTGGAAATGATAACCTGATTAAATTGAGGTTGCTTACTTTTGCATCCTTGTATGTGCTCTTGTTACTCTTTTATTTCTGGGATGATCTACAGAAAAGTTTTCTACTTGGCGTAAAATTTGGAAGTTCTTGGCCGGATCTCGTTGAATTATCTTGTTCTCTGAAATTGTTTTTCTTTTTCCAATATTTCTGACTGCTTCTTCGTCTGGTTGCTCTCTTGTTAAGCACAATTTTTCATAATTAATGTGAATTAAGTTGGTATTTAATGAGTCAAGATTGCAAGCTTGAACTTTACTGTGTTCATCTTGGTGGAGCTTGTCACGATTACACCAGATCCGAAGTTTAAATCGAGCAACTTGACAAAAGGGCTTCTGATAAGGCAACCTACCTATTAGTGACAACTGGGCTTTGCATTTATTCTTAAAGCTTACACTACAAGTATAAGGATATGATCAAATAAGTCAGCTTCCCTGTTGATGAATCCAGCCTGTGCTTTATAGCTAGAATCTATAGTTCCATCTTTGGAGCCAGCTGGAACATACCAACAATTTGCTTCTCAATGATACCATTTTTGTTCCTTAGTTGTTTGATTTGTTGCTTGTTGAGAGTCTTAAGACAATGTGATCTCTTCTGTAGCAATTGAAGAAAATTTTGCCCATAATACTGACACCTTTCTGCAGTTTGAAGGTTCTGTAATCCTTCATTAAAAACTGGTCTCCTTGTGCATGGCAGGATAATAACTAGGAATACTGTGGTTTGCTTCCTATATTTGGTTAGCTGTACATTCTTGAGATCTTTGATCTGATCAACAGGGAAATAGAGGGAGCTATAAACCATGAAGGCGCTCATTCTTGTTGGAGGATTTGGCACTCGCCTCCGACCTTTGACGCTCAGTTTCCCAAAGCCGCTTGTAGATTTTGCTAACAAACCGATGATCCTTCATCAGGTATGTGCTTTCCGCAATGTTTCTGCTTAAAGAAACAGGGAAGCAGAATCAGTTTTAATGTTAATTGGTCTGATCACTTGATTTATCTTTAGCATTTTGTTTTAAGTTCCCAAAGGGCATATTTGTTACCCAAAGAAAAAAAGGAAACTTTTCCACAACTACTACACATCTCAATGTTGGAAATCAGTAGCCTAAGCTGACCGACGCATTTGGTCAATTATGACTATTTTGCTTTTGGTTCTATTTTATTAATTTAATGATTGTCACTTGAGATATTGCATTTGCCTTTTCAAAGTTGAGATTTTAATGGTACTTAGTCAATTAGGTGTATATCTTCATAGCCAAACCTTTCTTTTGGTTGCTATTTTTCTTTCCTGGCTTACGTGAAAAAAAGTTATATTTGCATCCAGTATATTAAAAGAATAAAATTGGTTTTGCCTATTAATTTCATGTGGATTCAATAGCATTCTTGCAAAGTGCTGCTTCTCCATCAGAAATCATTTATGAAACTCTTGCTTGTTGGAATCGGTGTGTTGTTAGGTGTCTGTTCATGACATTTTGATTAATTAATTTCTTCAACCAATAGTCTGTAACACTTTTGGTCAGATTGAAGCTCTGAAGGATGTTGGAGTGACTGAAGTCATTTTGGCCATTAATTATCGTCCGGAGGTACAAGATAAAGTCATCCATCTCTTTCCATCAGCCTTTTTAGTCTCTGCATTCACATTTTACAGCATTTTTTTTCAGGTTATGATTAATTTCTTGAAGGATTTTGAGGATAAGCTTGGAATTAAAATTACCTGCTCGCAAGAGACTGAACCACTAGGAACGGCTGGTCCCCTGGCTTTAGCCAGAGACAAGCTAGTGGATGGTTCCGGGGAGCCCTTCTTTGTCCTTAACAGTGATGTCATAAGTGAATACCCATTTGCTGAACTAATTCAGTTCCACAAATCCCATGGTGGGGAGGCGACGATAATGGTGACCAAGGTATATTGCTCGTCACTCATTCATTTACCCATTACATGCAACCTGAACTTTTTTATATCTGATAGGTCGACGAGCCATCAAAATATGGTGTTGTTGTTATGGATGAAGAAACTGGAAGGGTTGATAGATTCGTGGAGAAGCCAAAAATATTTGTAGGCAACAAGATCAATGCTGGGATTTACTTGTTGAATCCATCTGTCTTAGACCATATTGAGCTGAGACCAACCTCGATCGAGAAGGAAGTCTTCCCAAAAATTTCTGCAGGCCAGAAGCTCTATGCCATGGTCCTACCAGGTTTCTGGATGGACGTTGGACAGCCAAAGGACTACATTACGGGACTGCGGCTCTATTTGGACTCTCTAAGGAAGAAAGCACCATCTAGGTTAGCTGCTGGCCCACATATCGTTGGGAACGTATTGGTGCATGAGAATGCCGTGATAGGGGAAGGATGCCTCATTGGACCAGATGTTGCCATTGGTCCTGGCTGTGTGATCGAGTCCGGAGTTAGGCTGTCAAGGTGCACGGTGATGCGGGGAGTTCGCATCAAGAAGCACTCGTGCGTCTCCAGCAGCATCATTGGGTGGCACTCCACGGTGGGGCAGTGGGCACGTATCGAAAATATGACCATCCTTGGGGAAGATGTGCATGTTTCCGATGAGGTATACAGCAACGGAGGCGTTGTTCTCCCACATAAAGAGATTAAATCAAGCATATTGAAGCCTGAGATAGTCATGTGAGCAGAATAAATTGCAATGGAGGATGGTTCGTCACAGCCATGGATGTTGCGTGTGCCTGTTTTTATTTCCTAGTCCCTGCAAGTGTAGTAGCCATTAGCTTTGCGTCAGGCTGCTAGTTTATCGGTGCTTCTTCTTTTCGGTGTTATACCTGTAGATACAAGCTTGTCTCCGGTACAAGACAAACTTTGTAATTTTCTGTAAGCTTGTTGGATGCGTCTTTTTCGTTTTTCTTGCTCATTCAGCTCTACTTTTGTAATGAAACATGCAAAGGATAACGATAAAACTATTTTCTGTCATAAGCTATCTATCAAATCGTTGTTGTGGCAAGTTGAATTGTTAGCTGAGTGAACAAAGTGGAACATCATGTTTTTGATTCATCTTGATTCATAAGCGGCAGTTAAATATGAGTTGAATGCAGGAATTGGAAGTGTATATGATGTGGACATATCCGAGAAAGACTCGTACCATCGATTCATTATTTCGTTACAGGTTCAATGCGGAAAGATCACCCAACAAACGCTGGCCTTCCATTTCTTGTGGTTGTTCGTCGTGATGACTTGATCAAAATTAGAATACCAAGCGAGATTGAATTGATAGTTCTTGGAATCTTGCTCTTTCGCTGTCGTGGCTTTCTCGGTCTTCCTTCCATCATAGCTGCAGCAAGTTCTTGGGCAGGAACTTCCAGCGTAGAAAGTACTCGTGGACATGGCTTTCTCCGCGACAGGCGAAGGCGAACGCTCCAGGCCAAGTGTTACCGCGACTATAATGGCATGAACCCATCGTGATCCAGAGCTTACGGTCCCAAAACAAACACTTGGGGTGTTTCGCCTCGAGAGAGTAACCCATGGCTGCTACTGCCGATTGGTATGAAGCAACTGAATGCATTCACATCTTACGGTGATGAGTGATTCGAGCACTCTCCTCCACTCCGTTGCAGGAAAATTGCATTAATATATGATGACGGGAAGAGATGATGTTAACTTGGACAGTCAGCATCGTCCAAGCAGCCAAATTATGGTTTGTCCTCCTATCAACTTGGACTTTTACTACTTAACAGTTCATCATTTATACTGAGATTACTGGTAGCCATGGAAATAATTGGAGGCATTCCGGTGCACGTATTTTTTGTCCCCCTTGCTGATTAAATATCAATTTAATGTTCCATAGATTCACTGGTGTTGAATGAAAAGTTTGACAAACTGGTGCCAATTTGTTAGAGTCTGAGGCACAGATCAGTGATTGAGACTCCAACGAATATTTTGTCTGCTAAATACGATTTTCCACAAAATGGAAAAAAAAATAAGGAAAAAGATTTTGCTGTCAACAACAATTAACAACGATCACTTGCAGAAACAAGTTGGATAGACTAATGACAGTAACAAACAGAAAAATAGGGCAGAAAACAATTTTGCGGTCAACGACAATTAACAATGATCACTTGTAGAAACAAGTTGGATAGACTAATTACAGTAACAAACAGAAAAAATTGGGCAGAAATATGATCACGATGAACTATATATCAATCCGTCAACCGTCTTCTAAAAGGTAACATCCATTTGTATACCCATAGTAACACTCTCAAAAGAGGGGAAAAAAAAATCTCAATAGTCTAGTAGCAGAGTGTAGGATCCTAAAATGCTCGTCACATCACCCAGCAGAAGAAAACAAGCAAAAGGACTACTTCATGTAGAGAGAAAAAGTTCACAGCATCTCTGATACGACGACTGATTATAATACAGAAGCTTGATGTTTCTTCACAGCGAAAACTGATTTGTCAAACAGATACATCATGCTGCTTCCATGCCAAGGTGTTCTGTGGTTCAAGCAAACAAGTGCATCTTCAAGACCACCTGTGAATTTTACGGGCAATTTAAATTGAGATCGATGCAAATCACGCATTCTGATAAATTACAGTAAAGCCAATGGAACAAGTCGAACCACATATGGAAGGTATATTGAATAAATTAAAAATGGAGTTATTTTAGCATTAAAAAAGATGGTAGGTAAGTCCATAAATTTGCAAGCAGGTGAGATGATTCAAATATTTTTTTTTTTCATAGCACCCAAGTTGCCATATTATAAAATAAGCAACACGATATATTGATGGCTAATGAGAGACCTTCTAAACATCAAACATACTTTGGTACCTTAAAAGTGTGGACACCCTTAGAATATTAAAAAGGACCCATGTCGAATTACAGTGTGCAAATATGAAATAACCTTCAAAAGAAATCACCAGCAATATATGAAGGTAGAGGCTTACCTATAAAAGCAAATAACAGAGGTTGCACACAGGAAAATCCTTGTTGACAGACTTATGGGAAGAAGAACATCTTGATGAAAAGAGCTAAAGCAAACTGCAATACCATAGCGCCAACAATTAACATCATCAGATCACTAGATTGAGTATAAGCTTTCAGGTTCACAGCAATGAACCAAGATGAAGCAATGCCAGCGAGGAGTATGATGATCCACCGGAAAAGCTCAACAGGAACAACCAGCAACAACTGGAATATTTTTTTTTTTACAGAACAAATAATCAGCTGGTGAGGAATAATCATAATCCTATACAAGCTTAAAAACAAACGGGAGTTAAAAATTACAGCATTTTGCGTCGAAAATGTCTGTTTCTTTTTATTTTGTCCCATTATATATGTTACATACTTAAGTATGCCACACAAGTAAAAGATTAAGAAAAGTTAAAAGTACTCCATTTTTTTTATTCAACTAATGTCATGTGGCATGAGTCAATCTATGTTCAGTAATCACTCACATAAAAATTACTTGTATTACTGATTCTGAAATCATCATCTCCAATAGTTTCTACTAGCACCTTTTAATATAACGTAGTTCTATTTAGTCATATCCCATCAGCGAAACAGACTAAGATCACCTTCTACTGATCCACATCTACTAATTTGTCTTATCAACTATCAAAGTGCCATAGATATACGTTGTTATGGAATTATTAACATGTTTGTGTGTGTGCGCTAGGGTTGGATAGAGTAGCCACAAGTAAAAGCAGACCATTTGGCATCATCCTGTGAACTTTATGTACTTTGCTTATTCATCAAATTTTACTAAAGCAACAGACATCGTGGAAAAGATACTCACACAAATGGGCATAAAGATGAACAAAGAATAACCCCACATGCACCAGAGACGTACGAGGCTTGTTCTAAATCCAAAATACTGGAGCAAGAAGTAAAATGCAGCAGGTACAGCAAGCATATAGCCAAATATTGCACATGCTGACCACTCTACATAAGTCACATCAAATGTCCATGTGGTACTTGAATCGTTTCTTTTTTTCATCAGGTAAGTGCCAAAATTTCCAAGAGCAGCAAGCATGAACATCAACGTAGCTGATATCCAAATAGGACCATATCTGCAAAGATCCATATGTTTGAGATGTAAGCAAAAACAGACTTGAGAAATAACAAAAAATCAAGCCAGTCAAGAGAGGGATGCATGTTACAGACAAGAGAGCTTGAACTAAACTCCTGCATGGTTGCAACTTGGTTGATTTGAACCATAAACCCATTTAACCCAATCCATCCATTATAGTAGTTTGGTTTATGCATCTTGAGTTTGATGTTTGGGTTGGTAACAATTTGCCTTGATTAATTGGTTATGGCAGTCCAAATCCAACTCATAATGAGATTTTCATGATGTACAATTGTTTTCTTACTACCACATTTGATACCTTTCATATAGCTCTGGTATCACAGAACTGAAGTCAGCTGAGCCAAAACGAACCCACCAATCAGACCCACTTGTGGTCAGATACTAGATATTATTTGCATTGTTGAGAGTTGGATTGGACTAAGTTGACCTTCAACCCTGGCCAGGCCAACCAAGTTGCAGCCACACCTCTAAACAAACAAAACATATTGCAAGGTGATTATATGTAAGGAGTCCTGCTCAATAGTGTCTATATTCATGCGAGAGATCACCTCACTATATTGGAATAAAGAATTGTCGGGAAACAAAAATCATATTTGTTCACATGTCGATTAACAACAATGAAACTGTGTTGGTATACAAGCTGATAACCAAAAAGATAAAGAAATGATAACAAGATATAGATGTGCAGGTCCTGCTAAAAATCTACATCCATGAAACAAGACATCCATACTTTGTGTCAGAAAGAACTCTCATTGGGTAGAAATAATAAGCATCAATAAATCATATACAGGCTGTAATATTTGTTTGATAGCAACTTACAGATCAGGATTACCATCAATCTTCCTGTAGAAGTCATTCATAGGGTACACTGAACTGATGATTCTCTCCACCACAACATCAGTATCAACATTGAAGTATGAACTATATGACGAAATGCTAAATACTCCTTGCCAACTAGATGTCGTTTGTTCATCAGCACCTGCATCAACAAGAAACATATAATGGTAAAAATCGAACCACTAAATGTAAGAATCATAAAACAAATGCCATCTAGAAAAGAAGGCTCTCACCAATGCATATTCAATGTAACAGAAATCATAAAAATATACAACTATAAGTTGCCTTAAATACACCCAAAGTGACAGCATGTGTTCTGTAATAATAGAAGATTCATGAACAAACATAAAAGGAAATAAATGTAAAAGTACCCAAACTAAGTACAACCGGATTTATCGAAGTACATAGAAATTTAAAAGCCCTGTCCAGCCATATATTTTACTTGGAAATACCAAACATTAGAATCTTTAACATAAGCATCGCAATAGGATGAGCACTTCTGGATTTAATAACATAACTTGATATGCAGATTCTGGCGCATGTAGGAACTAAAAACATGTAATGATGCACAATACTTTCCCTTTTAAAATATCTTTCTCCTTGTCAGTTGGAAACAAAACATACAATCTTTAAAATGAGTGTAACTAAATGTACTCTAATTGTGGTGTAACAACTCACCAAGTTTGACATATTGATTCTGACATGCCTAGCAATTAAAACGTCCGTATTAGATATTTCTACTGCATCAGAAACAGAAAAAGGATCAGTTTACCGTTACCACAGTAAGACCTATGGGATTAGTAGACTATACAACATAAGTTGTATTGCAGTGACAATTCAAATTCAGATGTCTCATTGACCTAGTTTCTTAGCAAGATCTCTTTTGTCCACTGCACATTCAGTAATAAATTTTCATGGGTTTTAGCTTGGACAAGGCAGACCAGTTTCCAAAGGAAGCATCCGAGAAAAGTGGTGTTAACTTGAACCACTTTATACCACATATCAGTACCTATAATGTGAGAGCGAATATAGGTTTTTGCATCAGATACCAATCTCGACGTATACGCTATGTTGCAGGTAATAGCACAAGTGACTTCATGAATATACTTTTAAGATCTTACCATAGTGTCTAGCTGACTTTATTATCCTTTTCAAATAACCTGACTGGAAAAAAAAAAAAAAAAAAAAAAAAACTGACCGATTCTTTTTGTAACTATTTTATAGACAATGTTTTTTGTAACTGTTAGAAAGGATAACAGTTGACATAGCATGCATGAGCCAAGAATTGTGTGCATATGTTCAAGATAAGCTTAACTCCTTTTCAATTTAAAAAGAGGTGAGATGAATCATGTACAGGTCATACAAGTATATTTCTTTTAGTGACTTTAATATTTGTCAATGACCATTTACTTTATGTCACAGTTTGCGTTTCTTGTTTGCTCCTGATATTAAACAACAAGATGCTTGGTACATCAGTCTCAATAATGTCTTATGAAGACAACCACATAAAGATGTAGGTAAAATAGGTAACACTATTTCTTCTGGAATACACATCCATATATATATATTAAGTCGTCACAAGCTACAAACTAAACATCACTCGTTCTTTGCAAGACAACTTAAAAGATAGCTAGCTAAGAATACTTGCCATCATCCTCTTCTCAACTCTCCTCCTCGATTTTGAGATCTCCCATTTTGAGTGTGGGACTACTTGGGGTGTCACAGGCTCTCCCACAACACCATATCTAGTAGAAGATAAAGTCCGATACCAATTGTCATGAGTTCATTAACCTGATAGAACTAAACCAACATGACTCGAAATGCCTAAGCCCAAGCTAATGGCAGTAGGTTCATCAAACCCTCGATACTTGTCACACTTTTTATTTATGATATATGGATTACTTCATGGGTCTTCATATACAAAGGTTGTTCACACGATTGTTTGTTGAGGAACAATCAAACAAATTGATGAAACATATAAAGAATCTTAAACAGCAATTCTTACAAGCTAAGCAATAGACAAGATGTACTTCAATATTAAGCACTATTTGAAAAATTCCATGCTGCTAACAAAGCTACATGATCTAGATTATGATCTAAGCTACAACTGGCAGCCATCATTATCCAGCCAAATGATTTTATTTTTTTTTTCCTTTTTGGAGAAATCCTAACCAGACAACAGTTTTATAGTTCCTGGACGTGACAGAGACAAGTGAAATTCAAAACAGACAATACTTGGCACAGAATAGTTACCACTAGGAGTGCCAGGAGCCTGATAGCCTCCATTAGATGGTGGAAACAAATGCAAGTTTGCAGTTGATGCCGCTGCATTAAAGTCAGACCAAGAGTCAAAGAACAAACCCAAATAACCAGACTTGGTCTCAGGTACCATCACTTTCGCCCTAATCCTGATAATTCCAAACAGAAACTCACAATAGCAAACAGCATCAATACCTTCACTAGCGACGCTTGTCGTCTTGTCTTCAGCAATCACAGCCTATACGAAGATATCAAATCAAATCAGAACTGAGTAATCTTCTCAATCCCTTTAATTTCTTTCAGAACAAACTTGAAGATTCAAGAAACAGATTTCTTTATAAACACAGACAAACTTCCAAATCCAAGAACAAAAAAAAAATCAAGAAAAAGAAAGTCAACGAAGCTTCCACATCCGATGACATCAGGGAAAAACGAATCTAACGAGGGCAAAGAGAACAACATCGATCCGTCGTGACCGCATGAATTAGAACGATCAGAGTGTCAAAGATCACAACCAAGCATTTGGTCGGGCCAAGAATCGGCCCTCTCGATGAATCAAGATTACCGGAACGGAGCCGAGCAAGTGACTGGCGGGAAGACTAGTGTAACCCTCCTCCATGGCGCTCAAGAAAACCTCAGCAGCAAAGCAGACACGACGGAACCGTCATCTTCAGATCGCCATTTCCGACCCACACGGGAGAGCTCTCGATGGACGATCGAATTCCTCCCTCGCTCTCGCGAAAGAAACCCTGATCTCGAGACCGGTCGGTCGCTCGATTTCTCCGCACGCACCCCACGAAACACTCGTTTAATAATTGCCCGTCTCCGGAAACAGTGCTTTACGAAAAAAGAGAACGGAAACGAACGGCACTTTACGACCTCCGACGCCAACTTCACGCTGAAGGAACCGAATGCGGCTTCGCTGTCCCCGTCAAGCAACAGGACACAGAAGAACGGCCTCCTATCGGCTGCCTGGTCGGGCCCCACCGCCGGACCCCAAGGGAAGGCCAGGAGATGTTTAATGCCAAACCAATGGACCGATGACAGCTATTAAGCTGATAAGTTCATTTTTATCCTGTACAATCATACTTACATGTGATTTATGATGATTTCATGAACCGGGTTTGGATCTTATTTGTGAGATTATGATCCGTGGGTGAGATAATGATTGCTGATACGGCACATTTTGGGCCCAAGACACGTCACAGCTGCTTGACACGTCATGTCTCGGGAATCCTGAGACAACATCGCCCCCAAGACACGTCAAGTCAGGATTCGTACTAAGGCACTACTCGACATGTCCACCACGTCAACCCGTGTATGACCGACCCATGTATAGTAATATAAAGATCTTTGGCCGGCATCTGGCCAGGAGAGGGGTGTGGTAAAATTAATTGATCACTCCACTAATTTGCTCGTATGAGGGGCCTCATTGGGAATCACCCGACGAGGGCCATTTTTGTAGGAAAGCGACCGCCCACGACCCGCGAGCATCTCAACTCGGGAATTGCCATCCGGTGCACGAAGGAGAGCAATCAATCGGCCCGGATCCCGACCAACGTCAACCAGCACTCCTTCCTGAGGGCGTGGTTACCTCACGAAGACAAGCTGCCAACCACCCGGAGACGTAGAGATGTAGCTCGACATACACGGCGCTCGGATCGGTATACTAAGGAACACTGATCAACACCCTGTCGCGAGGGCTTAGTCGACCTCAACATCCAGCTCAGCCAACAGAAGACTCCCGACATCAACCCGCGGATCTAGTCGAGCTGACTCATCAGCCACCACATATTTGTTCGTTAACACCTGCTATATAATATATTGGATATCTTAATTAACAAATGAGATTTAATATATTCACTTATATTAGTTAAGCGCATCATATCCGTTATTCGACTTAGACAATGGGCTCATGAACCATAGTCAAACTCACTGGGTATCATAACCTACGGTTTGATCGTTTCCCCCCTTTCCTTTATCGTTTCTTATTTTAATTTCGGGTGGATTTGAATGTCGATTCCGATTTCGGTTCCCGTGTCGCTTATTTACACGTGACATCGTGACGGTTTGAGCCCGCGATGCCGCGGGCGAGCCCCGCAGCGCAGACTCGGAGGGCGCCGTGGCGCGTCACAGACATTCTATCCCTTCCCACGACGTATCGTTCTGTTTCGTTAGCCTTTCTTCATCCTCCCCTCTGCGCCTGCGCCATTCGTTGCCTCCCGCCCCCGAGAAGAACCCATCGCTTCCGCGTTAGATTCGATCGAGACATGGCCCGAGGTATCGCCTCGACTCCTCCACGTCCCACCGCTCCCATGGACGGAATATCCTTCGTGGATTCTTCCTTCTTATTCCCGTTTCCGCTGCAGAGTACGAGGCGGCATTGAATTGCTTGTCCTCCCTCATCACCCGACGCAGTCGAGCCGCTAGGGGCAACAAGGGCGACCGCTATGATCTGATGTTCGACTACCTGAAGGTTTTCCCTGTTCTCGATGCTTCCTTCCTTTTTGGTCGGTTCGACACGTTCGGTTTGGATCTGTGTAGATCTTGGAGTTGGAAGACGCGATTTCCCAGCTTAAGATTATCCATGTAGCTGGCACCAAAGGGAAGGTAGGAACTCTATTTCACGCTTGAATGAGACTCGGTTGGTGATGATGAGCTGGTGACTGATGATGTAGGGTTCGACGTGCACTTTTACTGAATCAATTCTGCGGTGTTGTGGGTTTCGAACTGGACTGTTCACGTCCCCTCACCTTATCGATGTCCGGGAGCGGTTCCGTCTTGATGGGTAAGGTTCCGATCCTCTCTGCAGAATTCATACCGTGGCCTGAGTCCAAATCAAGCCAATGCTCTTCTACTTGGGCATCTATTTTTGTCCTTGATATCAAGTAGTGACATCGGCATTCCTTTGTTTCCGATTATGAGAATTCTAGGGTAAAAGTTTCTGAAGAGAAGTTTTTGGAGCACTTCTGGTGGTGTTGGAATAGATTGCAGGTATACATGTTTACTTTTGATGCAAGATTAAGGTTATTTCTATTAGATATTAGGTGTTAAATTGTGTGCTTCTATTCAAAATTCACAATAGTGGCTCTTCATTTTTCGAATCATTCCCAAGAATCGTTCAAGTTGATACAGTATCTGATAGTTGTAGGTGTGAAAAATGCTCTTATTTGAGCAAAACAAAACCCTCTCTTTTCTCACTTTCTTTAGCTGCTGCTAGTCTCATCAATCTTTTTCTTTAGATGTAAGCATTTTCTCGAGTCAGTAGAACATTGCTTTCCTTGCAGGAAAAAAATGGTGACAATCTCCCTATGCCTACCTATTTCCGCTTCCTTGCCCTTCTGGCATTTAAGATATTCTCAGCAGAGCAGGTTAAGTTCACATTCCTTTGCAATTCTTTGTTACCTCCTTTTTGATACATATGCTGTTCCGATCTTCACATCCTTGTGTTTCTTGCATGTTGCCTATGGGTCTCAACAAAAGAAAAAAGAACATTTATAAGTTGAAGAGAAAAGATCTATATACTTGGAAATGTTTCACCTGATTTATGTGATACATCAAGCTCTGTTTTTTGCTTTTCTCTGTTCCTTCATATGGTAGTTTTTCTTTATCTAAAATATACGTTAGTGCTAAAAGGTTGAACAGACTACAATTGCATTTTATTGAGATAAGAATTTATCCAGAGACATCTGCTAAGAGATATTGGTGTCTCTCATCTAACAGTTTCTCATGTCTTACGACAGTGTACTTCAATCCATTATCTTCTGTCTGATAGACTTGATACATTTAATGGTGCCAAATAATGGTGCAAAATATTTAAGAGACACGGATCTGAATAATGGTGCAAAACAAAGATTTAAGAGGCTTTGCATTAAAAGAACCATTTAATGGCTTGACACACGGGTCCAAATGCAAGATGATGGTGCAAACCATAGCTCAGTAGATTTTGCACAAGGAGACGCACATATGGTTAAATTAAATACTGGTGAAATAATGGATGTAGAGTCTGATTTAAACACAAATTATAAAATGTCTCAGATTATCTCTTTCCCAGAAGCTTAAGCTGATAGAAAATGACATGATTTATATTTGAAGTCTTAACATTGTCTGATGAAACATTTACCATGTTTGATGTTGTTGCTTTTGTGCTACTCATTACACTTGCTGAGAGAAGAATTAGGTATTATGAACTTGCTATAATTCAAAATCTATTGATCATAGTTTAGCTTTCAAAGCAGAATCAAGAAGCTTAAAGTGTTATATGTTCTTTGAAAAGGTTCTATCAACTGATGATTAAGTCAAACGCAAACTGGAAGTTAGAAATAGGCATGAGATAGAAAAGAGGAACTACAAGAGGTAATTTTATTGGGAATCAAGTCCTTGAAAGTTAAAGGAAATGAAACTCCTTGAGATTTTCTAAAGATATTGGAATATATTGGGAAAGACTGACCCTTGATAGATATTGCATCAAATTTTTCCTTGTACACTGAAGTTGGATGAGATGTTAAGAAAACTCCCTACTTCAAGCTCAGCCATGAACACAGATTGTTAAAGCTGTAAATCACAAATCTATTTTTAGCATTTAGGTGATAATGCAAAGCATCTTATTATTTCAGTTCCATGTTCCTTTCCACTTAATGATGCAACAGGCATTGTTGCCCATCTGCAATTAATTAATTGAGCAGATCTAAATGTCATTGTACAGAATGAGTTGCTGGTCACTCACTAGCATGTCGCAGCATTTTCTAGTATTTCTGAGGCTAGCTCTAGAAACAGATGTAATACGTAAACACATTAATGTTCTGTCAAATGAAGCAGGTGGATGTTGCCATTGTGGAAGTTGGTTTGGGAGGAAAATTTGATGCAACCAATGTGGTGAATACTAGCTTCTTGTTGAGTTGTGTTTTTTGCCTTTAAATAATTGTAGTCTGGATAAATCATACAAGTGGAACACTATTAAGGACCATTCTCGAATTTGGCCTTCATGTTTCAGGTGAAGGAACCAATCGTCTGTGGAATATCGTCCTTGGGTTATGACCACATGGAAATTCTTGGTTAGTCTCCCCATCCCTAAATATGGAAAGTTATTACATGCAAAGAATCAATCTGCTAATATTAAAGTATTCTCTTAAGAAAAATCCACGCTGTGTTAAGTTTCGGTGCCTTCCTGTTCAACAGGGAATACTGAGGATGATTGATATACCATTTACTGTTGATTCTTGTATATATGGTAAAAGATTATTGAAATTGTACCACTAATATGCTTGATATGTAATGGTGGCAACTTAATATGTATCATATCATCTATGGTTCCTGTTTAGTAGATGCTAGAAAAGATTACTGCAGTCACACCAGTTATGAAAAAAGTCCTTGTAAGCCATAGGAAGAAATCTTATGAAAGTTGTTGAAGCACAATAAAAGAAATAATAAGACAAAGTGTTATCAGTTCACTTACTGCTGACTCTCCCATGAACAGGAAATACACTGGGAGAAATTGCAGGAGAGAAAGCTGGCATCTTTAAGGTCTTTTTATTTCTTATTTATTGTGTCTATGAAAATAGATCATAATTTGTCACAGGAAACATACGTGCTTTACTTTAGTTTCATATCTTTCACTTCATTTGACACAGAAAGGAGTACCTGCATGGACTGTACCCCAGCCTGAAGAAGCAATGCGCATGCTCGAAGAGAAGGCTTCTCAATTAGGTGTAAGTGATACCATTTTATGCAGTTATGATTAATTAACATACCACACTACAATCTGAATGGTGAATTCGTGATATTTGCATTACATAAATAAAACTTTTATTAATCCTATCACAGGTTCCTCTTCAAGTAGTTTCACCTTTAGATCATGGACTACTGAAAAATCAACATCTTGGGCTAGATGGCGAGCATCAATGTTTAAATGCTGGCCTTGCTATTGCCTTGTCCAGTGTTTGGCTTAAAACAACCGGAAATTTACAAGGCATGCAGATAGACCAAAACGTAAGTGATATTTTTTCTTCCTTTTCGTTTTTCATTATTTCAAACAGGGGATCACTATGTTCTGCAATGGCGAGCAGAATTTACCTGAGCAATTTGTCAGAGGGTTATCAAGGGCTAGTTTGGAGGGACGAGCACAGGTTGTCTCAGATTCTTCTCTTGGGCAACAGCAGAACTCCAATCTGGGAGGCTTGACTTTCTACCTAGATGGGGCACATAGCCCAGAAAGCTTGGAGGTGTGTGCAAAATGGTTTTCCCGTGTTATAAGAGAAGATCCTTCACATTTAGAGGAACAAATTCACAAGAAACACCATCCTGGACGGGTAAAATCTAATTTAACTTCAACATGCTTAACATGTCTATTCATACCTTTTTAAGAGTATCTCCTGCAGGGGGGTCACCCTAACTCACTAGGGGGGAAGGAGCACCTACAGATGCTTCTTTTCAATTGCATGTCAGTGAGAAATCCTCAGTTGTTGCTTCCACGTCTGGTAAACACTTGTTCTCAGCATGGTAAGTAACATGAGGAACAGTTCTCAATGGAAAATTCATATCAATGCGACTAGAGTGGTTGTAGCTGATAGATTTTCAATTAATCTTGAAGTTAAATTATCAATCATCGACTTTCTAATTATGAGTAAGCTTTCAAATTTTAGTTTTGTTGATATTTTTTATTCAAACAACTTCTTGTTATGTCTATTAATTATAATTATATTGACATATTTGTACACTGTTCTTATCTTACATTGTCGTTTACTTCCTACACCACCTTGTAAAGCTACAATTATAATTATAATTATAATTAAACTCTTTTCCCTCATAAGACATGCAATTGAAAACTTATCATATACAAAACCATTTTATTTAAGACGAAGTCAAGATAATTATATTAGTACCAGGGAATCGATATGATACACTTCAGACTTTTGCTACTGGAAACATTTGTCTGAGCAAGCCACAGAACTGCTGGTATTCGTTGCATTATCCATGTAAGGGACTATATAGAATAGTGGTCATTAAGTAGCTGTATGTTGTTGATTCCTGCATTCAGATATTCCTAGATACTTTAGTAATACATCCATATGAAATTTAACTGTTTATCATTTTTCAATGAATGTCAGGGGTCAAATTCCATAAGGCCCTTTTTGTACCAAACCAATCAGCATATAACAAGGTTGGGTCTCATGCATCACCACCGACTGATCCACAGCAAGTTGATCTGTCATGGCAGCTGACACTACAGAGAGTGTGGGAAAACCTCATTCATGGTGAACAAGGTACTGCAATATGTTCTTTTATTGACTTTCTTTATAAAACCACATATCGATAGGTTCATCCTTTTGCTTCTCCTTCTCCGGGGTCAGAATTCGTCGAATTATGTTAAATCAGATAGTTCTAAGGTCTCTAAATATTTTCTGGACTTATGGATGAAATGCTTCTGGTTACAGTCAGTTATGTTATGATGGTGCTTTGAATTGGTTAGCAAAAGGTGAAGGTAACAACATCAAATTCTTGTAGGCTCAAGTTGCGCCAATGCCTATGGTGGCAGTTTAGTATTTCCTTCGCTCCCGTTAGCTCTCAACTGGCTCAGGGAAAGTGTTCAACGAAGAAGATCAGTTCAAGTTCAGGTACGAGAGAGGCTAAACTTTACTACAAGTAGAAGACAATATAGCATAATATTTGATCTTTATATATTAATAAAATGCGAGAACAGTGACTCGTGTCAGACAATTTCTATTCCAATTTATCTGAATCACCATTTGACTGATTGTTCAGAAATATGCCATCGGTGTATAGAAACTAGACATCGTAATTCGAAACAACTTGTTCGTCCCTCTTCATGGATAAATTTGTGGCAGAATTACTGATAGTGATCACATTTATACTGAACCAGCTCTTTGATTTTGCATCATTGCTCGTAGGGGTTGTTTGCTCACTGCTCTCTCAAACTGTTACTGCTCTCTCAAATAGACTGACATGAAGACACTTCTCATAGCCTGTTTGTTTATTCGTTTCAGGTTCTGGTAACAGGTTCCTTGCACCTTGTGGGTGATGTTCTGAGATTAATCAGGAAGTGATGTTTCCTCCTCGAGATTAATTAGATAGCTGGATCACGTTATTTTGATCCACCGATTCTTTTCCACATTGCCACTCTATTTAAGACAAACAACAATTGAAGATTGTCTCGAACAGCATCCTGAAGATTAGTAAGTCTTTCTTGAGATGTTTTATCTGATATCTTGCTCCTGTTGTTAAGAAGCTCGAGTTTTCAGGTCGAGGGCAAACAAAACTTTGGCTGATCGACTTTTAGAAATGCATTGTCGTAACAGGTGATTCTTCGAGTAGATTGATTATATCTTGTTCCAGGCCTTGGAAAAATGGGAATGCAAGTGATGATTGCAAGGGGAACAGGAATTTTAGTTCGACTCTTTCAATGTTGCACAACATTGTGGTGCGGGATGAATGCTTTTAAATTGGGTTGGATTTGTTGAGAATCGAATGCCCACCCAATCTTTGGTGTGGGGTTCTATGCAGAAATTTCATCTCAACCCAGTTGGGTTGTCTTGTGAGGGCTTAGTGGCAGTTACTAATGATCCGCTCTTCTTGACGTAGTTGTCTGCGCCCTCTCGTCGACGTGACTTGAGCTCCGATTTTTAGCATTTGTCCGAAGTCCGTCTCTCTTCACATGTCTTGGCAGCTTAGAATTTTGGGTTGTTTTCACTTAGACCTCCGATCTTTTTCGCATTTGTTGGAAGTATTCATATTGCCTCTGCCGATTGAATCGTTCGCCCACAACTAATAGGAGGAGACCGGTGAAATATTCAGATTGCCCACCAAGTCATGAAAAGTATACTAAAATTTATTTAGAGGAAGGAGATGAGGTAATTAGAGGAAGGAGGGCCATCAAAGAGAATGATTGAATAGTCCGATGAAGTATCGAAATGCTCAATGTGTGACTTAGTCCGATGAAGTATCCAAATGACAAAGACGAAGTTAGCTCGAAGAGAATGACTATGAGTTGGAAGGATCACCAAGTTGGTGGTATCGTCGCGGCATATACACGAACCGCAGACTCGCGCCTGCAGCATCTAAAAGATTCCAGATTAACTACCTTTAGAATTATTAAAATCGTATTAATTGTTTAAAGAATACTGTCATAGGATTTCAATTAACAACCAAACAATATGCAAGTCTTCAGTTTTTGAATGAATCCAAGCTGCATATTACATCTTGCATTTGATATTTCTAACAAAAATGCAATGAAAGACTTTTAACCGCTGTTGTACTTAAGAAAGAAATATTCTCAAGATAACAATCTAAGGCCGACATCTACTAGCACACCATGAAAAAGAAGGCAGATTTCTGCCACCTAATCCAACAAGGATGCTACAAGGATTAAATATTTTATTCCTGCTAAAGACACTCAGCAAGTAGTTCTACAACCAAATTTCAACACGGGGAGATCAAAATCAAACCTTTCACTAAAATGACCAATAAAAGGAAGTTCATGTCGGTGACAAAAGCGATGGAAAGACAAATAGTATCATCTGTTGCATGCCTTGTGCTCACACTTAGGCATTTTCATCTGTACAAGCAATAGAAGTGTTCATGGCAGCAACAGCAAAACTCACCACCATGTAATTCCTAAGGATACAAACTATTCTACCTTGTATCAAATTAACTCCAAAATGTGCCGATGGCAGATGTCAAAGATCAATATCATAACACACATAATTGAGTTCAGAGCATTTAGTCATCCACTGATGACATGCCTGCCATGATTGATTTTAGCGTCTCATAGGTCATAAAAACAATGCCAACGCCCGGAACAACTTTGTAGTATTCAGGCATAATACCTCTGTATAAGCCTCGAAACCCTTCGGTCCTGATTATGTGCCTCAATGTCCCAAAGATGCCTGACTTATAAACACAGGCCCTTCCAGCTGCCCCTTCCAACTGCTTTCTTCTTCTCACGAGATCCAATGGAAATGTCACTGCAAAATCATACTGGGTAGGTCAGCAATATGTTGTATATTACGTTTGGTAATGCCAGGAAACTACAATGCTGAACAATTGTTAAACTGGTGTGCATCTTTTAAAAACAACTGCCACATAGTAATTGCACCAATCCTACAATCTGCAGGGTGACACTGATGCTCTGGCGATACTAGTGGATATTAATATGCTAAATATTTTTTATTTGTGGCTTAGACGCACTATACCATACAGTATGGCACATAACAGTGATAGCTCATAGGTGCATTAAACAATTCCTCCTCACACACACACACACACACACACACACACACACACACACAGCACCATTTGGTCATTTCTTTGAGATAAGCTCAAGTTCTGTGAAATAAGTTCAAGTGGCTATTGTCATGAATTAGGATCTTCACATAATATTTGTTTGACCTATCATGGAGCATAGGACAGTCAGATTCAACCTGGTTGAAAGGTTAGTCAACCAAACAAATTAAATAATAGGCGATTTGACCTTGTCTGATATCGAAATGGTCATGGCTACTTGTGAGGAAGCCCTGAATAGTCTCAGCCTGGTCAGAAGTTAATTAGGGGTTAATCCAAGTATCCGACATAAGCATATATTTTTTGCATTGTTTTGGGCTTCCCTTATTATTCTCCAGGTAATTCTTTTAACTATGGTCAGTGTCCTGCTTTGATTAAAATATATAATTGGATCGAAAGTAAGTTTGTTAGCAACTGACCTGTTGATGAGGCAACACCAGAAAGACTTCCACAAGCCAAACTAACCAAGACAGGAGAATCATATGGCCTGATGTCATAAAAAGAAATTTGAAAGTCACAGATGCTTATAAATGCAAGAAACTACCAACAGTTTTAAAGATTGCAACTTATTGATCAAACAGAGAGAAAATCACCTCTCAACTTGCCAATGAGACCTCAAAGTTTCGTAAACAGAATAACTGATTGCTATATTAGGCCCAACACCCTGCAATTCAACAACTGTCAATAGCAATGATGAAATAAAATGTTTTTACCCCAATCAAAATATAAAAGAGTTTACCAATAATGTGGCTCCGAGTCCCTTATACAATCCTCTGATACCTTCATCTCTGCAGATGGCATACAGAGCATGTGAAATGCCCCTATAATACATAGTATTTGTCTGCACATTGTGAGACAAGTTGTCAAAGACTTGAAACCCTGCAACTACCATGTCCAGAAATCACTTGCAAGCCATACAGCTACAATTGGCAGCAAGAAGCTCTAACATAATCAATAGCATGCTCCTATCAATTAAAAGAGTTGCCACAGTAAATGACTGGATTGCAGTTAGACTTACTGAGCAGCGCGGATCCATCTTGAACTCCGGCCTTAGTCAATCAAGCCAAGGTCCAGCGACTTCAGAAGATGGTAACCGCACAAACTTCCAGAGCCTTGTGATACATGTTTTTGAGACACAAGCTGGCTATTTTGAAAGGAATAAAGATGGAAACTAGCTTCAACTTACACACACTTGGAGATGAAATGTACATCAGATTGGAAGGCAACTGGAAGTTCTTATAAACTGAAAGGGGACAGGACAACTTGGAGAGTCTCTTCTTATCTAAACAAAGAGGAAGCAGTACTGCAGCATGATACTGTAGCAATGCCATAAGATGAAATTATGTAGTTGTTTCCAACATATTTCTTATGTAAAAGACAGAGTAACATAGACAAGTTAAGAATATTAACTGAATAAGGGCACTTGTAACTTTATAATTATAGGTGATTGAAAGCTCTCGATGTAAATGTCTGGATGTTTTACTTTCTTTTCTGTTTAATAATAGTTTACTATTTAGTTGACAGTTTGGGTCTTTCAGAAGACTCCTCTCTCTTAAATTGGAAAAACACTTGACTTGTTAGATCCATTGATGAGATATAAAATTTCCTAAAAAGTTGACACTTGATGAAAGCACCCCCTTCCAATATAGATATGGAACAAATTTTTTGACATCAAGGGACATGCATGGGTAGGTATGCTTCTTAAAGCAAATATGCCAGGACTAAAAATTATGAGCATACCTTAATATAGTCCAATAGAATAATGAAATGCTGGGAGAATGAATAAGGGGGAACAAATAGCTCTTACTGATAGCTGATGGGGAATTACTTAGTACTACAGTGAAGAAAAATAGTTATATGCAAAGCTTATATTTTTGGCATCTCACATGTTATATCCAATAACCAAAAGATAACATGAGAAAATTGAACATAGTAATTAGAGAATTAAATAATAAACTTATTAGCCTAAACACTCGTGCTGATTTTAATATGAAAAACAAAGATTCTGTAACACATGAATGGACATTCAATGCACTGACAAGGGGCACATGACATGTGATCCCTCTACCCAGTGGAAAATGAGAACTATAACAAATAATAAAACTTAGAAGACAATTGTACGAATCAATGCAAAAGCAATTTGGTAGCTCAATTAGCTAAGCAATGTGTGGTCACATTCCTGCAGCCAGTATTTAGAAAAGTAACTAGGAAAATCACGAACCAGGATGAGAGCTGCAACTAATTAAAAATGTCCTATAGCTCCCATCGCAGTACGTGCAAAGTGAGTCATCTCACTAACAGACAAGTTGCTCCAGTTCTATACTGTTATTATTCCTACACACAACACAAAAACCACATTAATGAAATCAATGAAAAACATGCTGCAGCATGGAAATAACACTTATGCATATCAACATCATGCCCAATATTATTACGTCAAAAATATAACCAAATTAAGACGGAAAAGAAGGTTCAGTTTGACTTCCAGAAAGCCTAACATGACGAGAAGTCTTTGATAAATCAAATACAATTAAAAATGAAATTTCACTACCAAGTCCAAGAGTTAAAATGATGGAATTGTGTTTCTGACTATCAAAAAATAAATAATATGATTACCTGGGCAGCAAGACGTGTCCTGACAAGATCCAATGGGTATGTCATTGATGCAGCTGTTATTCCAGCCAAACCTCCACCAAACAATCGCACACAGACATCTGCACTTACACTGTCTCTATGCTTATCTAGACCAGGAACCAATTGCAGAAACTGCACGAAAATATCATTAACAAAGAAATCAGTATGGATCTAAATACCAATGCATGTTTCTCTACTGAACTTTCAAACTTACATTCTTGTATCGCTCATAGGCATAGAAGCTTATCGAAGAATAAGGTAAGCGATGAGCGATAGTCACCAAGTTTCCTCTCCAAAATGCTCGGAAACCTTCTTCGTGAACAACACGAGAAGCCTCGTGCCATATGCTAGCCTTCCTTAGAGTTGCAACATCAGAGTGCATTCCTTGAACCTGGATTTGTGGTGCAATAAGAAATAACCATGAAGTTCATCAATGAAATTAAGAATGTTTCCTTCTTTCTCCGCTTAAAATAAAAAACCGATATTTGAGCATTAAAAATGTAAGTTATTTATCTTGCAAATTCCAGGAAACTAAATAAAGAGTTAAAAAGGGAACTCATTTAGTACTATCATAGAGGCATAGTAAAAGCGCATTGAAACCCTACAACAGAACTACAAGCGATGTCATAGACAATCGAAACCTCAATGATTCCAACCAGATTCGGCTAATATGCAAAGAAGGCATTTGAAAACCTTTGAGTCGGCCAGAACATAGAAACTATATAAGAAATTAAATCCAATGTGTCTTATGACTTCTTAATAGCTGGAACATCATGTCTGCAAACTTAATAGGTAGTACATCCAACTATAAAGCCTTCAACTTTTGTGAATTGTGACCAAATTCTCTGAACTAGCAGTCTATGTGCGGCCTCTTTATAATATTGAACATCAAAAACATACCAACTAGCATACAACAAAAAGCAACGAATACATGGCTAGAACAAACAACCATTTCATGCCATAAGCCTACTGATGCGTGGAAGAACACCCTTTGATCCAAAGATTCTTCATCCGAACTAAGATGTTGATAAATTTTCAATCTCATGTTTACCATAACTTTCCTGCCCTGCAGGTTCAGAAACTGGAAGTTTCTGGCTCCTGCCCTGCAGGTCCAAAAGGATCGCCACATTAGTTAATTCGACATAAATAAAATCAAATCACAACTACAAATCTCAGTGGGGATAGAAATTTCGTAAGTAACAAAAGCAGACACAGAGTACAACTACATATATAAGAGCAAAGAGGTTCCTCCATTGCGTCGCAAGACAGGAGGCAGATCGAAGAGCTAGCTACCTGGAAAAGAATGGTAAGGCGAGCAAGAGGGGCCGTGCACGTCTTGCTGACGGCACCAGCGACCCCGCCGGATATAAGGTGTGCTACCGTCCCGATCTGCGGTTGATGTTGCAACTGCTGCTGCTGCTGCTGGGGGTGGTGTGAGGAGTAACTCCTAGCCCCACCATCGAGGGCGCCTGCGCCACCTGCGTGGCCTGAGGAAAGGGCTCTGTGGCCACCACCCTCCACTACGACCCCCACCCGCGCCTCTGTCTGCATCTCCGTAGACGGATCCCACTCTTACTCACCCGATTATCGAAACTCACGAATCCTAGAAAGCTGCCGGAGAAGCTCCGGCGTTCATCCCCACCCCCGCCCGAACCGAAACCCTAACAACTATGCCCTCGGGCAGAAATCTCCTCTTTTTTATCATGGTCTTTTCGTCTCCCTATTAAGCTCTATTTCCTACCCGATCATGGTTTCCCCGACCCCAACACTTCCTCCGGTTAGCAGGAAGGGATATGAACCGGTAAGCTACGAGTGAGTGAGATGCATTTAATTGGTGATGATCGCAGGATCATACGGTCAGTATTGATTTAAGGATACATCAGAAGCACCGGAGAGGGCAAGCATTACCCACGCGGACGACTCCGTGTTCGTGGTGCATGGAATATTCTACGCCGAAAGGAATCTGATGCTTCCACGTGGCGGCCAAGTGTTGTGTGAGTTCGTGGTGCGTTCCAGCGCACGAGAGGGCGATCCGAAGCTGAGACGGTAAAGAGTGCGCCACGTCATTCGATGATGTTGTGCGTTCAAGAGAGCGAATTTAACACATTAGATAAATAATTTCCACGGCTCAAATATGATATTAAATGATACATTTTGGGACTGGTCAATGTTTGTGGTACATCCGATCCGATCCTACGTTCGAGTTATTTGATTATTATGACTATTATCTTGAAATATAACGAGGGATAAATATTATGACTATTATTTTTTATCAAACGATACATGGAATCCAGTCAACTCCTATTATACATGTCATATCAATTACCAAAGAATATGAATAACTTATTAAGCACGTCATATTAGTATAATATTTTAAAAAAATATTTCTCATTAAATCAATGATTATAAAGACAACAACTATATCATTAAATCAATCAATAGTTATAAGAACTAATAGGGGAAATAATGGCGGCATGATGTGTCATGACGACGGCCCCACCTAGGCGCGACTCTGCCCGATGAGGAAGGCAACAACGCTAACTCGACTCGCGCTGACATCACCCGCTATCAGGCAACGACTTCCAACCCCGCACGCTTGACCATGGTAGGGCAGGACGACTACCGACCCTCGCCCATACCCTGCGACGATCCGATTCTCCACGCAACGTCAATAACGGTGTCAGACGCCATCAGAGGTGCGACCCCGCCTCACACAGGTGGGTACATCAGGTAACGGTAAGCTTCTTTATAAATACCCTTGCACTCTAAACAGGTGAAGGGGGGGAAAAAGACAGCTCTCTACCACATCTCCTAACTTGATCGTCGGAGGGGTCGGGTCGAGCTCCCGACCTGACCTGTGTGCAGGAACAAGGGCGAGGTCACACCTTCCTGACGCTGCTCCAAGGCTTCACCCCCCCCATGCTACGTCCCATCCGGACAGCTGTGACCGGCCACCCCAACTGTCCCAAGGAGCACCGCGCCAAATCCCCGCACATTCGGACCCGAACCAAGCCGCGTCGGCCCCAAGGCCACGGCATACAGTTGTTCCTCGCAACAAATTGGCGCTAGAAGGAGGGCCTGAATGTCGACCGATCAGCAGACCCACTTTGGCGAACCCACAGCTACGGGGTCGCGCCCGGTCAGGACCCCAGGGGATCATCCCTCGCGGGAGGAGCTCCGAGACGAACGCCCCGCCACGACTTCGGAGCGATACTAGCGGCTGTTCAACGACCCGGGCTTGTCGCCGCCCGACGCCCCCGTCGGCCCACCACCTGTTTCGCCCGAAGCCTTCCACGATATTGCCCACCAAGTGCGGGCACTAGCGGGCATGGTGCAGACTATCATCCCGCTCGTCTCCCAGCCAACGCCCCCACATGCAACCCGGCCTCTGCAACAACGAGAACCCGCCCCTCGGATGCACACGCCGCTCCCCGAGCCCCCTCTGTCGCCTTGAAACCAAACGGCCCAGCTCGGGGACCGGGAGGCGGAAGGCACGTCGAGTCGCCCGAAGCCCGAGCGGCCATCCGCGAACCCGACAAACGCCCTGCAAGCCCAGTTGCGTCTCTTTAATCATCGCCTCAACGAAGTGCAACAAGAGATTCACAGGTCGAAAGGGGAGCCCGGAGCGGACGGATACACACAACCCCTACGGGGACACACTCCAAAATACTTCTTCTCTTGAAACCCCCTCCACATCTTCCTCTAACTTGATCGTCGGAGGGGTCGGGTCGAGCACCCCAACCCGACCTCTGTGCAGGTGCGCAGCCGAAGGTCCCCGTCGGTCCTGCAGGCCGAGACGGCCACATCGTCTCGATCGGACACCGCCCCCGACCTCCTTAGCGGGCTTGAGGAGCGCCCCCAAGGAGATCCCCGCCTTCCAGACCCGAACCGAGCCACGTCGGCCTCAAGGCCACGGCTTAAAAAGTTGTTTCCCACAACAACAACAATGCTGTATAAAGGTATGCAAACACCTACTAAAGTCAATTTCGATAAATCAAATTGATCTTCAAATTTAACTTTGTCCATAAGTTTGGTTCGAACCGGTCTCAGAGTTTGCAAATCAATCATTCTCCATTAGATTCGGAAAGGAAGTAATGTCGGACTTAAATATACCTTTGAGCGAATACACGCCTTCTTGCGATCATGCAAACCCACTTTGTTAGCGGGTCAACTTCTTGCGACCCGTTACTCGACTCATGATCTCGACAGATCGTCCAAATTGGATCGGGTGTATGTCAAGTCGGATCAAGATCGACATATCGGTCCACATTCGGGGGATGCTTTCCCGACACACCCGATTTGGATACTACCCTAGCGGCTTAAGGCAGGCAGCCACAATCCCCAGCGGGTCCCGCTCCTGCGTGAGGCGGGGGTAAGTTATCAAGGATTAAAGAATTATTGTCGTCCGTTTGATTCGCATCGGAGGGCCAGTACGGCAATCGGGGGCGCTGCGAGGGGACGTCGGCTTGCTCGTCTTTTACCAAAATATCACAAGTTACCAAGGAATTCTCCCCAGGAGAAAGGGGTTGTGCGAAGCCTCGACGAATAATAACAGAAGCAAGAGAGGGAGAGAAAGGGAAGGAAGGAAGGAAGAAGAGGGATATGCAAGGGATGGAGAGATTGCATCGGATCTTCTCGGGTGCCGGCGGGATGGGCCATCCGCCCACAGATTCCCCCCAACTCGACTCCGCCGAGCAGGTCTACATCTCTTCCCTCGCCCTCCTCAAGATGCTCAAGCATGGTAACGTCAAATCTCCATCTCCGTGTTTCCGATTCTTTATTTTTTCTGCTTCTTTTATTGTGTTGGTGGCGATCTAAGATTAGGGTTTCTGTGATATCCGGGAGACAGGGAGAGCCGGGGTGCCCATGGAAGTGATGGGACTCATGCTGGGGGAGTTCGTGGACGAGTACACGGTCCGGGTCGTCGACGTCTTCGCGATGCCGCAGAGCGGGACGGGCGTCAGCGTGGAGGCCGTGGATCACGTTTTCCAGACCAACATGCTCGACATGCTCAAGCAGACCGGAAGGTGGTAGTCCTTTTCCCATCTCTCTACTAATACATACACCGGATCTTTAAAGAGATGCATGTTCCAAGACCAGATAACATTAGCCGCTTACTTTGTACCTCCGTAGTTAGGGCTAATTTTAGGCTGCTGTTTGGCTGATCTAATAATTTGTAGGATCTTCTAATTCGTAGGATCTCTGCATGCTTTATTCATTGAATTACTAAATTCCTTTTTCGAGTTCATTTTTTGGGTATAATTTGTTACCATTGAATTAGGATATCGATTATTATAGTACATTGCAAGAATGTTTATTATCCGGTGGCTACACTTGACAGAAGATGACGCCTGGATTTTTTTTTGTTCCCTCATTTCTTATTTCTCCTCCTCAGCAATGTTTGGGATCTGTGAGAAACTGAACTAATTTTACTTCTGACTTGAGTCGGGATTACTGATTAGGGCTTCAAGGTTATGACTGTTTGCGTAAGCTGGTTACTGTAGAACAAGGAAAATAACTTACTGATGTTAAGTTCTGAACAAATGTCTATATGGCCTTTGAAGAAAGAAAAACATGTTCAAGTTCTTTACATGGACTTGCAAAGAAAACTTTGTCTGTCATCAGGAGGTGGAAACACGGGGGAAGGGAGAAAGATATATTCTGCAATCTCTAATACATGTCTGCGCAATCGACCTTTTTCTGAAAATTTAGCATTGGTAACATTGGTAGGATGGAGCAATATTTTTATGACTTCACATAATGTTGAATTTCTTTATTTCTCTTTTTTTAGGTAATAAATCTTGGATGTTTATAACACTGAGTTATATATTTTATCCATATCTTGTAAAATCTATATATTCATTAGAGAATACAGAAAGACTTCTTGAGATGGACTATTTAAAGGGTACTTTTGTTAATTATTTTTTCAAACATATCTTCAGTTTTTCTATTTAGTTTTTTTCACTTTTTAATTTATAGGCTGCCTTTGGGTTGATTTGTTGATCTTGCAATCTAATATGATTGATCCGTTCTGATTATGATGGCTAATCTTTGAAAAAATTTGATCCTGTGAACCTTGTTAATAAAGGGTTAAGCTGGTTGTCTGTCTTTAGCAGGTCTTATTCAAAAATAAAATTTGATATTGTTAAATTCACATTTTGTAAAATTTACTTATTGCTTATCTCTCTCTTTATTTACTTACAAATTGTCTGTTTGTGATATCGCTCTTTTTGTTTGCCATCTCCATTCAGCCAGCTATATTGCCCATTTATAGGTTAATCATTTTCTTTAATCTCCTCTCTCCCCCTTGTGATATTGAACTTCAAATTTTGAGGATTGCAAGTTCTTTTTATTTTGCTTGCATTTTTAGTTTTAGGGTCTTAATTTTTTGAGGCAATATACTGTTTATGAATGTAAACAATGACATCTCTCAAATTGAGATTGGCTTGATTGGTTCATCTAGTCTATTTTACCCTACAAGAAGGCATTTTTTGTCCATTAAATTGGTTTACTATCATGAAACAATTATGTAAATGGACTGATGTTCAAAGGAACACCATGTTTCACAGAAGCAACACTATGTGGTTTTTAGACAATCCTGTCATTTGGAACCTAACGCCATAATTATCTATGTTCTTCAAGTGTCTTGTTTAAGTGCTGCCATACAGAAAGTCAAAAGTTGTTTCTTTTTCAGCTAATGATGTGTTGTTTTAATGTTCTATATTGGAATTTCTCAAGGTTAAAGTGACTGGATATTGATTCTTCTATTCTTTCTATAGTAGGACTTGAGACTTAAAGTTTATCAAATACCTCATCAGCTAACATGATTTTTTGCCCATACATTCGCATGAACCCATTTGTCCACTTGCCACATCGTTGATAATGAATGAGATGTGGTAAGGGAAAGGTTAGGGTGTTGAGATAAATCTTCATGATGATAGATATACTTGATTCTGCTGCTTTATGCACTAATGAACAGGGAGTTTCAAGTGGTTAAATGTTCTATTTTCTCTTTACACCTTTGTGTTTCTGACTTATGACAGATTGCCACTCAACATGCTTTTTTTCAGAAGACTATAGTGCCATCTCGTTTCAATAAAATTGGTTTCTAGGTAGCTGGAAATTTCAGTCGATGTTGATGTAATGATAGGATTCTACGAAAATGAAATGCATACTGTTTGATTGGGCAGCAACAAGAGAACCCTCGTTACTACTTCTCCTTCCATGTAATTTCATTGTCTTGTTTGGTATTTGAATTTTGTCTGCAATGGTAGGTATCTATTTGTTTTTGGAATTTTAAGATTTTTTATTCATATCTATGTGATAAGATTTTAATATTTTTGGCATTTAAAGAAGTTTATCTGTGATGATATTTGATTCTTGTATATCTACATTTCTCCAGAATTTATTTTAAATGAAAGCACTGGTAGCTTTTTTATTTTCTTGTTTGTTAGATTTCTCTTTTAGTGTTTATATTTGACTATGGTTTTAATGTTACAGACCTGAAATGGTGGTTGGATGGTACCACTCTCACCCAGGCTTTGGTTGCTGGCTTTCTGGTGTTGACATAAACACACAGCAGGTGTGTAGTCATCTTCTATTCAACAAGTCTCTTATTTTATTGATGTTTGTTCTCTCTTTTGCTTTTGTCTTATAATGGATGTGGATCTAGTGGTTTGGGGTGTCATTCTTTTGCTGACCATGCTATATGGTTATATCGGTTTTGTTTGTTTGTCTAGATCTAGAAAACTGATTCAGCCAATATGCCTCTCTGTGTGGGTTATGTCAATGGCATTTTCTATGTGTTGTTTTGATGGTAAAATATTCTGATGTCTTTTTGTGTGGTCTATATCATTTGGATGGCTTCCTTCAGAGTTTTGAAGCACTCAATCCAAGGGCAATTGCTGTTGTAGTAGACCCAATCCAGAGTGTCAAGGGTAAGGTGGTCATTGATGCTTTCCGCTTGATCAACCCTCAGACAATGATGCTTGGCCAGGAGCCTCGCCAAACAACATCCAATGTTGGGCATCTCAACAAACCATCTATTCAGGTTGGGTGCTTGTTTATTACTATCTAAAGTCATACTGAGTTGGTTGTCTTGGTACACTTAATCTACCTCTGGATGTTATTCACCAGGCACTGATACACGGGTTGAACCGGCATTACTATTCTATAGCAATAAATTACCGCAAGAATGAGCTGGAGGAGAAAATGTTGCTGAACCTTCACAAAAAGAAGTGGACTGATGGATTGATACTTAGGCCATTTGACACCCATTCCAAAACTAACGAGCAGACTGTCCAGGTATGTAATAAGACCTAGTTTTACTTCCTGAACAGAACATTCTAGGATACTAATTGTTATTTTAAATGTTTTGCCAGTTGAAAAACCCGTACATCTAACCTATTGTTTGCATACTCAGGAAATGTTGGATTTGGCTATCAAATACAACAAAGCAGTACAAGAGGAGGATGAACTTCCACCAGAAAAATTGGCTATTGTTAATGTGGGAAGGCAGGATGCCAAAAAGCATCTGGAAGAGCATGTCTCCAACTTGATGTCATCAAACATAATCCAGACTCTGGGGACTATGTTGGACACTGTCGTGTTTTGATGGCAGATTTCATTCAGAGGACAACACTTGGTTCTGATTGAATTATTGAATGCTCCTATGCTTTTTCTACAAAGAAAAAATTCCATCGATGCTAGTGTTTAAATCAAACATTGGGGACTGCAAGTTATCTTCTTGTAGTCCTCTATCCTACTACTTAACACATTGCAGTGGTTATGATGTATTGGTTATTCTTACTCTTTGCCCATCTCACTTGCATTGAAGTCTGTTTCATGGCAATATCCTGCAACTTTCTTTTTTGTGTGTTTAGCTGTCAGTTCTGGTTACTGAAATGCTAAGTCAGTGGCATCAATAAAATCTACTACTGCTGATGATAGTTTAATTGTGATTGATTGGTGCAGGCTGTTTGGGTCATGCAGGTGATGTGCTTGGGGGCATTGTTTCAGCTAAATATCGTGTTCTTTTGCAGTCCACAGGAAGCTAGTAGTTGCACCAAATTCCAATTTCAGTCGTCATATATCAGCGAAGATTTAATAGGTACGAACAACCTTTAAGTTTTCTTTTTCGCGTCTGAACTCTTTCCATTCATGCGTTCTTGTAGTCTTGAACTGCTTCTCTGATGCGGCTACAGATAGGACTGCCTCGTTCTGAACTTTTGGCTATACGATGAACACTAATTACAAAAACTTAATAACTTTGTGGTTGTGAACGCTTTAGAGTACTGTAGGAAAATGGGTTCTGCCAGAGAAAAGTAGGTGATGTCTTCAAAAACCACACGGACACTTTTTTTCCTGAAGTTGAAACAACCATCAGAGAGAAGCGACATCTCTCGACCTTTAAATTAATTTTATTAGATGGTCATGTCAAGAACTTTACTATGAATTTAACCAATCTAATACACATGTAGCCTGAGCTGATGCATTATTCGGAAGGAATACATGTTTTCAATAAGATTTTACTTTAATAATCTAAACCCAATATATAAATATAATTATTAAGAACAGTTATTTTCTTACTTTATGCTTTAACACGCTAAGATTGAAACGTTAATTTCGGATTGACCCTCTTACTAAGGGGTAAGGTTCGAAACCTTAACTCCGATATATTTATAAATGTGTCAACTAACTTAGTAAAACTTTTGATAATATATCGTAAGTTCGAATGATATTTTTATTATTTATTTATTAAAAAAAATAAATTCCCTACGACAATAACAAACGCATATGTCGATAATCATGTTAATGTGTTCGTTAGTGGGAAAAGTCACCCTCTTATGCCCCTTTTCACATCTTTCTCCCTCGCGCCATCCTCTCCCCCTCGATTTATGCCCTCTTCCTCTACTCGGTGAGAGAGCGAGAGAGAGAGCGATGGAAGGATAAAACAAGCCGTGTCTTCGATCGCCGATGAACTCGCATCGATCGATTCGTCCTTTGCTTCCTTGTCTTCGTCGTTGTCGCCTAACTACTTTCAGCACTGTCTTCCCTCCTCCTTCCACGGTGCGTGTTAGTCTGGTGGATGTTAGATTCATTGGCCCTTCGGTTCTGGATTCCGTAATGGGTTTCGGGGCCACCGTGGGGTTTTGGATCGAGTACTATTTGCGTCGTGCAACATGAACATCGATCTTTACTGTTCTTCTTACCTTTTGCGATCTGTCATTCGATGTCATCGATTAATCTGTCTCTGATCTTGTAAAGACAAGCCCTAAACGAATAAGTCGTGGTTCACGATGGGACAGGTGATAGCGAAACATTCGTCGCCAGGCGACTTGTACCGGACCTTGAACAGGCAAAGCACTGATGGCCAGATCGGGAACGCTCAGAACGCAGCTGCAGGTTCTTGAACATTATTTTAACTCATTCCCTTTGTTGATGGCGATTAGGTTTCCTATAAATTGTGCTTGCCATTTAATTAGCCAGTGACCAAAGTGGCTCTTCCAAAGAACAACATCTAGTTAAGAAGCGTCATTTGATTCTTTTTATAGATAGCTTGTGAGTGATAATTCCTATGGTTTGCGCGCATGAGAGAACATGTAGATCAGAGGTATAATGCTCGAAGTAGTCATATATTCGTGCATGACTTTGCACAAGTTTTCCATTGTTCTCTTTTGTCTTGCTTTAAATCTAAAAATATATTCTAAAATTTTGTGTCTTCTATTGCAACTATTATAGCTGAGAAAACAATACTAATGAATGCTTTAATCCGCTAGATATGGTTTAAGCAAGGGGTTTTTATCCAAACAATCAGTAAATTACCCTCTGATATAATGATCCTTCTGCAGATGTCATGTCTCGAGGTAGTCCAACCAGAGGGCAAACAACACAGGGCAAGGATGGTAAGCCTGTCTATCCCAATGAATCAGAAGAATCAGCCTGTTTTGGCTCGTCCGTGCACTATGGTGGTCGAGATTTCTCTGTCAGCTCTCCATCAGACCAAATCTCTGGAGCTCCAAAAAGTGTAAGTAAAACAGCAAATTATGATATCAGAAAGGCAGTCATCATGTCTAACTATTACAAGGAATTTAACTTTGTACTGCATGCAATCCAGTGTTAATTATTGTCATTCTGTTTAAACTGCTATCAGTATAAAACTAATGAAGGGAACAAACCAGGCGACACAAACATTGCCACTAGAGGTGAATGGTGGCAAGGTACGAAATACGTTTATAAACTTTATCCAAGTATTTGGATCCAAGAGAAGCAAATTAACTAAATTTTGCTTTTGCCCATTTCTTTTTTTTTTCAGGTTCCCTATATTACTGAAGACATTGACCTTATCAGAATGCTCTATGTTTTTAGAGGAAGAAGGTACTTTAAAGCCATGGACCCTAATTTCATATATTTCCGTTGTTTGCACAATTTTTTTACTATTATATTTACTGTTTCAAGCCACTGATGAATACTTTGTCATTTGAATTTATTAGGCGTGTGATAATTCTTGAATGTCTTTCCTAACCTTCCAGGAAATTACCAGTCTTTTAGATCTAAAGGTGTTTAGTTATGTTATTGCTTCAGTATGTTTTTTTGTTTGTCAAGGATAGAGTGTTACCATTAATGGTCAGCTTGTTCAAAATATATTTTTTCAGTGTTTTAGGTCATCTATAGTGGGTGAATCAAGACTAGTTCTTGAGTTTCGTCTTTCTTTCTTTCTTTTCATTTTGTCCCAGTGCTTAGTTGCAGCCTCCAGGCTCGAACCATAGAACCTGTTATCTACCATATTGATTGTATCGCATGTCCAGATATTGTTTACTAAGATGGATTATTTTTTAATGACCAGATTCTGGAAGGTTGATTCAGTTACTTCATTTAATCATTATATGATAGACAACACTCTTTTAGCTCAATTTCAAATGGTCTCATATTTTTAGGTTCATGTTTTCTTTAAGTCCTGTTTTAGATCTTAATTATTTTTAAGTTGCAAATTCTAAAGTTAGATTAGATGGACAAAAAAATCAACAAGAGATACAGGTAGAATATTAACAGATTATATGCAGGATTTTTTAATTGATTAAACTAACCAACATGAGGTTCAAGTGGAACTCTTGAAGATGATAAATGACTCAACTAAACTGTCAGAACAAAGGCAACCATTTCCTTGACATGCTACCCTTCAGAGAATGGCAACTGTTTTATGAAAAGAGAAAAAACTGTGCCTACCATGTTGCTTCAAGGCTCCAGTTTGGCAACTAATAAAAACAGTTCATGTGCAAAACCAAGTGAAAAATTTAATCGGTTTCACTGGTTGAATATTTATTGTGTATTTTCTTTTCTTTTCTTCAGTCTACAGTCAGAATGACATCGCTATTTGAAGAGGCAATTTCAAAGACTTTAAGATAATACCGTGTTGCCTCAGTCATTCTAGTTTTCACCATCACCATCAGCATTGCAATCCCGATCCTAACAGGTTTTTTTTGGAGAGCAATTGCAGGCCCTTGCAAGCTACTATTATTTCAGCAATCAGGTCTCATGTGGTTCCTTCTTGCGGGCATCAGCTCAAACAACCGTTTCATCTTGGTATTTAACTTCTTTCTTGATGTAGGAGTGAAAAGATAAAATTCTTGGAAAGTTGATTAGAACTTGGGTACTATCTATCAATGGACTTCGATATTGAACAGTGAAGCCTTCACCTCCAGCTTCTACCTTCGTGAGGTTGTGAGGCTGCTCAGAAATATATCCTACAATACATATAAATAGCACATAACTAGGTGTTGTACAAATTGACTACGGGGTGATGGTTTCGCAGATGTTATTGCCAGGTCCTATCAAAACAGTTGTTATTCAGATATACTCGTCACTGCAATCTGAGATTTGATTCTCGCAGGTCTCTCACAAGTTGCCAGTGCAGCACCTCTCCCTGCGAGAAACCTCGCCCTGAGCATGTCGCGACGCGGAAGCACATGGCGCCACATGAGGAATAAAGGAAAAAGGAAAAACAGCTCAGGGCCCAGCTGTTCGTGAAGTTGTCACTGGGAACATCGACGCTTTGACTCGAGGTGCCAACCTGAGCTTAGTGTAAGTTAACTGAACCTGAATCATAACCTGTATCGTACACTATACTATGTGGCTCACGCTAAACGAGTTAGGATGGGTTGAGCTGACGAATCTGGATCGGGATTGACAGGCATGCCTGATGATGATAATCATCTGCTGATGTTTTTATTTATTTTTCCAGTATTGATTGTTGGTGTTTAATTTGCTGACAGAGTTCAGAGGAGACAGCTGCACGACAACTATCTACGCTTGGTTTAGTGCAGCTCCAGCCTAACTTCAATCTGAAAGTATGATGTTTGGGTACTTGAAGAGGGGTCAGGGTCCTACAGACTCTCAAGTACCATGGGGTAAATCCTTCGCACAACACAAGTGTTGTCTCCAGGGGCTATCTATCAGATTTGCCTAACTCTATGATTCCTTTCCAAGGGAATAAAAAGGTTTCCTGGTGTTGATTTGGGTACAGCAAAGTTACCCTGCCACATCCTGGTTGAGGTAGCAGGCAGAGCAAGGGGAAACCAGGTTGGCATGTCGCACCGACATTTGGGTGGAACTTGGCGATGAAGACTTCCGACAAAAAAATAGGAAGATGGGGAGGTTTCAAGCAAAGATGATGATGACGCCAATGACCGAGCTTATGCTCAGAGATTGCTAAACAAAGAAGGTAACTTTCGTAAACCCTTTTGTGTGGTTTAGATGTCGGGAATCTAACTAAAACATTAAACAAAAGCGCAGGTGAGGAGGACATGAAATGATAGGTTGTGCGACGTACCCATGGAAACACATTGATGAATGCACATAAAAAGCATATTGAAAATAGGCAGTGAAGTCAACTTTTGACAAGATCCCAGGTTTTTCCAACGATGAGTGTGCTTGATTGATTTATTAGAATCAATACCTGCAGCCTTTATTAGAATCTACTCTCCATTTTGGATGATCTGTGGTCCACTGCAATCTCCAAAACCAAGTGATCTATTTCGTAGACTAGAGAGAGACATTTACTAAGCAATTAACAGCTCAAATAGTATATGACAACCAACAAAATACACGAAGGTTAAAGTTGGACTATTTGACTTCGAAGTCCCAAATACTCTTCTGTTATACAACTCAAACCAGATAGGTTAAGATTCAGTCCAATACCTTATAAGGAGCAAATATTCAGAGCAGAAATCCAAACCCTAGCTCACTTATGCTGGCTCATCTCAAGCCGTGGTGTGAGCGGCGCGTGAAGGCATAGAAGATGATGGCGATGTAGATGATCATGGCGGTGGGGATGAGGGTGACGAGCGGCACGATGGCCCCCACCGCGATGCCGCTGCACCCGAGCCTGCCGAGCTTGACCTGGACCACGTTGACGAGGGCCAACGTGAGGAAGCCGCAGCCCAGAACGGAACCGACGGCGGAGGCGACGATCCCGCCGCGCAGCAGTGCTTTGTTGATGCGCGCCGCGGCGCGGCGGTGGGGGCGGACGAGGCGGACGGCCTGCTTGAGGCACAGCGCGATCAGGCTGGAGAAGAGGAAGGAGGCGAAGGCCAGGACGTGGAAGGAGACTAGGTCCTCCACTACCCGGTTGCCGACGGCGCAGTCGACGTCCGGAAGGCCGCCGTCGGGGTAAGAAGAGGGGTTCCAGGCGAGGCCGACGAAGACGGCGAAGGTGAAGAGGGAGTTGACGTTCATGATGCCGTCCAGAGCCGTGATGTCGATGCTCGTCCCTCCGCCGCCGCCGCGGGCGTCGCCGGCGTCTGGCCCCTCCGCGTAAGCGCCAACCTCGTCCATGGCGGGGCTCCGATGGGCGATGGGTACCAACGGGTAAAGCGGAGAACAAAGAAAAGTGAAGTGATGAGGGAGGCTTCAGGGAACCGTCGAAATAGCGAAGCTCGTCTTTTTGTTTCCCTTTTCCTGCGGGATTCTTTTAATGGTTTCTAAAGGGAAAGTAACACGGAAGTATCTTTACGTATCTATCCTCGTCAATTCTAAAAACAGCGCATCTGCCCTCCACAGTAGACACCTCATTCTTCCCGCACACAAAAACCGCGAACAGAGTCACACACCTAACCGACCACCACCATGGCTGCTTCGCGTCCAAGCCAAATTATTATCTCTATTATTTTCCTACCGCCGTACGAATCCGGTCTTCATATCTCCATCCGACCCTCCGTGGAGACGATCTCCCGCTGGCGCTTCGCTTCGGATTTATTGGCCCATTATTACTGCCTCCTATCCCGCAATCCCCGTACGAAGTAATAAATGAGATGGATAATTATTAAAAAGAAAAAAAGAAAAAGAAAAAGCCGCGGTGCATCATTTTACCCTCCCCTCGCCCTCCCCAGCCGGCACACCCGCGTCTCTAGTGGGGTGCGAATTGGCCGGCCCCACGTGGATCCCGCGTTTAGTAGTATCTGTCGTCTGGTGGCAGAAGGCGTCGCGGAACTCCGTCGTCTCCCATTTATAGTTTTATGGGCCGCTGAGTTCGGTCGATTCGTGAATGACCGACCAATTCTGCTGCTTCTTCCAAATCGGATTAATTGATGAATCGAGTCGGTGCGGATCGCCCTCCGCCGCGGCGGCAGCATCGGCTTCCTGTTGCCTAAATCTGGGGGGTTGCTTTTGATGCTATGAATGAAACCGCTGCCCTGGAGCGGCTTGAATGGTTCTGTGGCCTTTCCGCCTTATTGCTGACAAGCTGGTGAAGATGATCGGAGGAAGGGCGGCACGCCATAATGCTGGTGGTGATGAGGAGGAGGTGGAGGCGAACGAAGGCCGTCTTTTCTCGTTCCGTTTTGATCGTCCCGTCTCTTGTCGCTCTCGCTTCGTGGATGTTGGTCTTCTTCCTTTGTTATCCCAATTCTCCTCCGTTTCGGCGGCTGATTGCCCTGCCTGATTGATGATGGTGGTGTCGTGTGGTTTTCTAGGTCCCTCATGTGCGGCAGCGATTCGATTGGGACTGCGGCCTCGCCTGCGTGTTGATGGTCTTGAGGACCATAGGGTTGGAGCAGTACGACATCCACGACCTCGAGAAGCTTTGCCGCACCACAAGGTGAGCCCTCTTTCTTCTTATTCTTGCTGGATAGATTGTGTCGCTCCTTTTGCGCACAAATTGGATGGCTTAGGATGTGAAAGCATCGAACCATGGTCCACCCGAGGAGCAGATTCTTGAAAGGGGAAAAAGAAGCTGGAAAAATGTTGCCAAAAAGATCAAATCTGCTCAAATACGGATTCGAGGAGGGTCTAGTTTCAGATGGCCCTATTAGTTACAAAAATATTTTCATGGTAGATGTAATTTGGCTTGATTTGGCTCTTAATTGCTCCTCAATAGTAAAATCCTCTGCTTTATCTTCACCAGCTAGTTTTCCCTTTCCTTTGTTCATCTCTCTTTCAAGCCAATATTAAATGTACATTAAATTGCTTTGTTGGAGCTATTTCCCCTTCAATCACACGTGACGGTGTCTATGATGCCACGCAATCTTGCCCTGTTTTGAATGTCCTATCTCCAAGCATGGCCTTTTAGACGACATTGTCAAACTTTGTCAGGTTATGATTGTATAGCACATGTAACCCTAGGAATATAACTTAAGTCGCAACGGTAGATATGTTCCACTATAGAGCTATGTCTAAGGTTCGGAGGGCATGGTGGTAGATTACATTTTTTTAACTTTTATGTTGATATAGTTAAAGTCATGTGAAGAACTAATGCTATAGAACTTTGGTTATGATTGTGGAATGCGATCGGGAGAATACAGCAACTCAAACCTTGCAATAGAACTTACAGAGAAGGAACTTCTGAAGTGTGCTTATTTTGTTGTACAATATTTTTCTTCTAAAAGGAATTCATGTAGACTGAACCATTTAGATGAGCTAACTGGAAAAGATGGACCTCTATAGACCTGAGACTTCTAACAGGCCTTTTAATCTATTACAATGTTCATGCTACTAACAAAGACGTAGATCCAACTAGATGGGTTTACTCAAGCATGTTACTGGTTTTTTTTTTTTGTGTGTGTGTTGGGGTGTGGTTAAGGGATCAGATTATAGTAATATTAAAACAAATACATAGTGATCACATTTGATGTTAGAAGTCTGTTACAAAAGTTCCATTATCTATATGTTCCGTCATAATGAAACAAGCTTATCATTGGTTCATTCAGACTCTTTTGCGTCTTTTAGCATCTGCAAATTTTGGTAGAAAATTAAGTTTTTTGAGTCTATGATTATTAGTTATCACTAAATTTTCAAAGCCGGTGTATGCTTTCTTAGCCTTTGTTGCACTGAATTCAAATTATGTTGATCTGAACATGCCTTAAATATGATTTTCTTAGATGTTTCAATTTACCGAGGGCTATATACTAAAAGAATCCATTCTGGGATCTGCAGTTACAATACGGCTTTGAAAGTTGTTAATAATGATAAATATTGCACATAGGATATTTATAACCTGGTGAATTACTAGTTTATGATAATGAATGTGGTGGATTTACTGAACTCATGGATTCTCAGAATGAACTAGACTTTGCAATTCAAATTTTGGAACTTTGTCACCTGTGGCACTAATCCAAGTACTTGATATGCAAACTTGTCGACATTTGTTATCTAGAATTTACATGTTGATGTGCTTTAAAAAAAGGAAAAAAAACCTGATTTTCCCATTTGTGTATATGATGCACTTCACTTTTAGATGCCTTTCTTGTGTATCAATTCACCCAATGTATGTTCCTGCAAAATATGGAAAAGATTGTAATATTCAGTTTGTCTTTCTTAAATCACCTGGCATGGCATGCTTTTGGACACTGATATTTCTGCACTTCTTTTTGCAGCATTTGGACTGTTGATCTAGCATACTTGTTGCATAAGTTTTCTGTGGACTTCTCTTTCTTGACTGTCACTTTAGGTGCAAATCCAGATTATTCAGCTGAATCCTACTATAGGGTGAGTGCCCAATCAAAGTCTTCATTTCAGCAAATTTATGTCACTTTTTTGCATATTAAAGTTTTTCAGAACTGTTGAAGAGGCATCCTACTTTTTAGAATATATGCAGATTCATGTCACTTTATTCTACTGTGGCTAATTCTTTGAGTGTTATTCAAGACGCATCGCTATTATTGGTCTCATACTTTCACTAAAGTGTCAGAGATAAAATTATTCCTTTCTGGAGAATTTAAGAGAAATGGATATGTTGATTATACTGTTCTAAAGTATGAAACAGAAGAAGTTCTACATAAATAGATGCATGATACACTGAAAATGCACATGCAGTTGTAGGTATCATGTATGTATCACTTCTCAGCTATTATTCATGGCTCTTTACAAACATGCACCATGCGTGCTTTATGCTCTTTTTTTGGGTACAGGATTTGTACTTGCTATAGTTTGGGTGCCTCACACTTTTGCTTTTTAAATAAATTTATAGTTATTTCTTATTCAATATCAGATGTATGCTCCTAGTCATGGTTTCTCTTGTGATATTTTCCTCTTTTTTCAATTGCTCAGATCCCCACATACACCTCTTTTACATAGACTGTGTGGCTGTTTATCCTTATTCTCCCTTATAAACAACAGTCTAAACTTGACGACGTTTGAACATATACAGGAACAACTGCAAGATGACATAGGAAGAGTAGACGGACTTTTTGAAAAAGCACTTGAAGCTGGAATTAGCATACAAGTATGTGTCAGTACTTCTTATCAACATGTGGATGTTATGGCCACTGCTTAAAAAGTTATATAATGTGGTTGAATGAGTACCTATCTACTCGCTTTACTAGTTTAAAACATTTATCATGTTCCACAGTGCAGATCCATCAGTGCAAAAGATATTTCTTGGCTAATACTATCAGGCCAATGTGTTGCTGTTGCTTTAGTTAACAAGATCAAGTTAAGGTAAAAGCTCTACCCAAATTTACCCATCTCTTGTGGGGTTTAAGATCTAGTTAGCACCTTCATAGATAACTTTCATATATTAAAAAATCTTAGCTAGTTTTTCATAACCTTGTGATCCTACACTCTCTTCCCGACCACCCCTCTCTCCCTCCTTACTAAGTGGTAAAGTATACAGATTTCATTACCTTTCTGAACTTATAGTTTAGATCTTTAGTCTCATGAACATGAACCACCAGCAGTAGACCTATACTATGGGACACCAAATCACAGTGAAAAAAAAAAGTTCTTCTTGTTTGGCTTTTTTATCATATGGTAATTAAAGATCTGTTCATGTTGGACGACTATTGATTGTTTTTGGACCATTAATTGATTTTCCCAATACTATATTTCATGCAGTCAATCCTGGACAAAAGATGCTCCTGTTGCTGAGTGCTATATGAGCAACACAGATTATATGGGTAAGTTCTTTGATATACAGTTGTACCATCATTTTCTTATTTATATTAACCGTGAGGTATTATTAGTCAGTAAGCTGGAAACTATACATGATATGTACAAACTAGACTTCATGATGCCTTGGTGATGGTGTGTCAGGCATTCATTTTAAATGTGAATAAAATAGTGTACTATTGATATTCTTTCAGTGAATCAAAGAAATCAATATATTTAAATTGACAATGTTATAGCCAGCTTTCTTTGATAATAGTAGTTGGAAATGTCATTAAATGGAAGAAGAGCAATCCATGGCAGAGGCTGAAAAGTCTATGTCTGTATTGCAAATTAAATCAGTTTATCTGAAACATCAGTTGATGACTTTTACTGAAGTCATCCTCTGACACAAGCCTGCCCGAACTGTCAGCTCCTTGTATGTCATCTGACGATGACAAAATATTTGTCATAGCCATTTGTCACTTGTTTATTCTTGTTCTTCGTTAACAGTTTGTTTAACATTTGACCAAATTAAATTGCTTGAATTCTGTTGTTGTAAGTTGTACCATCTTTTTCTCTGTCTTTCAAAGTTATTCTGTTTGCTATATTGTCATTACATTTATATTGGTTAAGTGAAATAAATTCTTTGAGCAGGGCATTATGTTGTAATATGTGGCTACGATGGAGATAACGGTGAATTTGAAATAAGAGATCCTGCCAGTTCTAGGTGCATTTTTTTTACACTGAAATAAGGATAGGACCAGCATTTTATTTTCATCTTCTTCCAGAATTGCGAATGGGGTTTCTTTTTGGGTCTCTGATGGTATTATTTGATTATGAAACTGGTTTTTGGAAAGTGTGTTTTCCATGAAAGTAAATCAAATCTCTAGCAACTATATGCATCACTATTTGGCCAAATTCAGTCTTAACGTATTGACATGTGCACTATGTAATGCCATTCTAAATGTGTTCCTGAAGGCAATGGATGTTTTAGAAATGATTTGGTTAAGCTTTCTATAAAACTGTAGTTTGCCATTAATAAAAATGTTCTGAACATAATGGGTGAAGCAACTTTGAAGCAACCTTTTGGTTGTGGTGCACCTGTACTTATATAATTTGGTGTCTACATATCATGTCTTTCTTTTATGCATGAGAGGTCATCTGAGGTTATCTCTGTCAAAAGAATCATCCTTCCTTTAATAAGTTACTCAACATATTGATCTATCATTTATTAAATAGCGTCACCGATAATCTTGAATTTTACAATCTTGTTTGGACCTTCAAAAGCTCGAAACACTCCTGTTCATATTGAGCAACACATTTGCTATAAAACTTGTCCTTTTTTTGCAGTGATAATACAAGATGGAAGTCAGTTTCTGTGGCATTCCTATCATAGGACCATATGATACCTAACCATTTCATATTAAAGTTACAACTTTGACAAGCATCTCAGGTCATGTTTGACTAGATTGAATTTAGTCGTTTTCCATTTTCTCTCTGGGGTTCTGTTTTGGGTTTTATTTAATGTGGCAACCGGTACTAATATATTGATCAATTCACCATCGTGCACGTGAGCTCCCAATTAGGTATCCATCATATAGATCATGGTCAGAATTAATCATTTTCACATTGTCGTCAAATCAGTGATCATCTTTTGATTTGTGTATCTCTTTTGTTCATCACGTCATTTGAAATAGTCATTGTTAATTGTTCACTATTTTGTTCATCACATCATATAGGATTTTCCTGTAGCTGTTTGTAACTGCAGCACAGAGGTTGTGATTTAGTTGTGTGGACAAAAGAATGCCTTGTAGGCCCTCATTTACCAATTTTACCTTGATAAATCATCTCATCCCAATCGGAGAATACTGTACGAGTAAAACATTGTGAATAAGTATTTTGCTGACCATCCTAGTCTCAGATTTCCAAGACTGCATAATTGTTCAGTCTACACTATGTAGCTGAGTTTTATGCATTTGAAGTATTGTTCTCTACATGGCATTATTTCCTTGTTTAATATTTTAATTTCTCTTTGGTATGATCATATTGTCCAATAAGCACTTCTTTTATTCATTTCTCTGTGAAAATTCTTTAGGAAATATGAGAAAGTTTCCATGAAGTGCCTGGATGAAGCGCGGAAATCATATGGCACCGACGAAGATATTCTATTGGTAAAATATTCTTTCTATGGCTATCACATGAGAATCAATTTTGCTTGTACCATGTTGTCCTTGAGATGCCTTGTGATATATTCGCAAAGCATGCTTCTTCCTCAGTTATTTCTTATGATCACTTTTTGAGTCTCGAGACGCGTCACTTGTTTTGGAATATGGGTTAGTGTTCTTTGTGTCAAAGTTGTTAGCTAAAGTTGTCGATTTTGCATGGTCTACGAGAAGATTCTTGAAATAAAATTGATCCCAAAAATCAGAAGGACACCTTTTTCTGCTAAACAAACAGATAAATTGCATGATTTTGGCATACAATGACTTGTACTCTGCGTCGTGGGTTTGGTGTTTCTTGTTACATACATAACAGAGTTACCAATCGAGCAATTGGTTAAATCGGTAATGACAAACTTTGGATCTTAGTATTGGGGTCTGTATTTTCTTTTCCTCGTGGTCGATCAATGCTTTCAATATGAACTATTTCTTAACATACTGCTACTAGGAACCCGCACTGGAAATCGCATGCTTGTCGAGCTATTGGAGTTGCTTGTGAAACTGAGATTTTATTCTGTAGATCCTAAACCAAGGGAACAGATTTGCACTCCTTGTTTCCTCTTTCCATACCTTGGTTTTTCTCCCTGTGCAGGTATCTTTGAATGGCCGAGAATGTGAAAACCTTTCGCCCAAACTCTAATAGTAGGCGCAGCTGTCGTCTTTACAGTCATGCTTTGCAGGGCTGTTCGAGTTGCATCCAATCGCTGCCGGTCGGGTTACATGTACTGTCTGCATATTAACTTCAAAACACACAAAGCAAACTTGTAAATGTGTGAAAAATGAATGTAGATCATGAAAGAAGGATAATTTTACATGGATATATTCATAGTCGTTCAACCTGGGGATCATCTTGGTAGGCTGGTGAATCAGACTGTTTTGTTTCTGAGTCGACCGAGAATCTAGACATGTAACATATGCGACATATAGTATGCTTACACTGTAATTTATAGGTACAATCGAACTCATTTACTGCGACATATAGTGTGCGAGGGATATGTTGGATGCAGTTCTGAAATGTCAATGTAACAATTGATCTTATGATTGGAAATCTCCAGCAACTTTATAGGTGCAGGTCTTCTTCTTCCATTCTTCCACCACCACAACTTGCCACTTCACTGTCCCACGTTGTAATCGCTTTTGGTATGATGCCGATCGCAAATGGAGTTCAGGAGTCGGGTCGAATGGATTGGTGGGGCATCTGAGAAGTTGTGCCTTGTACGTCAGTTGTTGTTGGAGCTGATAAGAACATCTTTTAATCAGTGTGTGGGCTGAGATCTGACTGTACGTTCTTCAGATTCGGATCGTTTTTTAGGCGGAGTGCAGGTGATCGATCACTGTCGTGCAAAGGCCGGTCAACCATTGGGGGCTGGTGAGGGATCGTTCTTGTTCGGGTGTCAACGTCTTGGACTTTGTGACCGGGAAGAATCTCCAAGCAATCGAGGAATCTTGAGACGGGTAACACAAAAACACCTCCCGGCAAGGGAGAAGCGGCATTAGAATCTCAATATTTTGGATTAAGCTGATGATGATGGATTAGCGTGTAGTGGCTTGTGCACATTAATTATCCAAAACAACTACCAACCGCACATCCAGCGTTTTTTATGTAAAAATAATAATTCTATTGACGATTCTCTTTTTGTTCTTTTATTATTTTTATTCTAATTTTTTAATATTTTATAGACTTTTTTATGTGAATAAACATAAATATTTTTTTTTTCTTCTTTTCGAATAACGAGCATCATCGGAGTAACTTCCGATGGTAGGAGGGAAGGGAGTGGGTGGAAGTAGAGAGAGTCGAGGGGATACAGTAGGGAAGGACATGGAGGTAGGAGAGAGCAGAAGACAAAAAGGAAATAGGAGGAGAAGTTGGTGGATTTGAGGGGAAGGAGGAGTTGTGGAAAATAATAATAATATTATTATTGGTAATTAAGAGATATAATTATTTCCTACTAATTACAAACTATTTTTTATATAATTTTTTATTTTTTTATTAAAAAAATTTATTATTATTTTAAGAAAAATTATATGATATTCATCGCTTTCACTTTGTTGTCACAAGCAATCTCTCTTGAGCTTAGACTTGTGCAAGCCAATTATTGCTAATGATGATGTGATATTTTTACCTATGTTTAATATTAAATAAAAATTTTATAATTAGATATATGGTTACGTTTCATGATGAAATCAAGAAAGAAAGATAAGATATTGACGTTTGTTGTCAAAGAAGAACGAGGGGTGATGATAAGAAATAAATGAGTGGTAAAGTGATGGGTGAGAGTATATCGATAATAGCTAACGAGAGATAAAAGATTCGGTTGAAAGTGAACATCAGGATTAATCACATCTTTTAGAAAATAAAAAAATTTAAAAATAAAATTAGATATATATATATATATATAGGATAGAGAAGTTGTTATTATTTTATTTTCTCCATCGAAATAGTGATATTAGGGTGGTGCGGTCATGGTACTTATTTATAATTTAAATTTCCTAGAAAGTTGGACCCACTGTTAAGTCATCAAAATATATACACATTCTAAGGAAGGAATCGGAAATAGAGTAATAATGTATTGATTTCCTTTGAGAGGAAAAACTCATGTTGTATGATGAGTTGACATTGACACATTTCTCCCGAACCATAATCTGAAGATTCGGTCCCACCTTGAGATTAAAGCAAAAGAGGCACTCCAACCCACGATTCCGAAGCACATCAAATCCACCACCTCGACCACCAGCTTCTGTGCTAGAAGATGATCATAAGAGTTTAGGTCAACGTTGTAAGATCTGCTGACATTTACGACCGGACGTGGGGTCAAAGCTGTCATCTGCCGCTCATGCATGGCTCAGTAGTATCAGAGTCATCGAAGAGAAAGAAAACTCAGACAAAATGTTGTGGCGATGTGCATTATTGGTTTGTGAGAGGGCAGAGAAAGAGTGGTAGGCCACGAAAACCGAGAAGAAAGCAGCGACAGCGGGCGAGAGGACGCCAGCTTTCTGCCCGTCCTTTCCATCCGCCATTTGCTGCAGAGTTCTGACAAGATGGTGACCAAAAGTAGTAGAAACACCGAGGAAGAAAAGGAGGAGGAAGATGCGGGGGTACGTCAAAGCTGTCGTTCATCGTATGTTTGCTGTGCTGCTGCCGGTTTTGGGAACCCAACTCTTCGTCTTCGTTCGATGCTTTGCTCCTCCGTCTGCGCTCCGCTGAGCCGTTAAGTAGACTTCATGTCAACTGTGTCTCGAGCTGCATGTGGAGAGTGCAGGAGAAATAAGTCTCGTACCAACTTTAGCAGATAAGATCTTTGTTTTAAAAGAAGACACGAGAGATGAGGATTGACGAAGTGCCCCCATAAGAGAGATAAGAAATTTATGAGCATTTGGTTCCTTATTTTTCAATCCACGTGAAATTAATATAGTCTTCCCTAGAAAAAAAAAAAGGCCTTAAGGCCTTTTTTTCTAGCGTTAAAAATATTAACACATGGAAACCGTCGATTAATGAATCGATCTGACTGATTTACTATTGAAAGTTCGAGTCCCTTCTAATGATTCCTCTTGGATATCGTAAAAAGCAAGCGTTACGAAAAAGAACGAAGGAATCTATAAGAAGAGATGGTTCATCGAGAGTGACTTAGTCTTCGAGTGGTGAAGCTTGGTCTGGGAGTTGGACGGTCCCCTTCGCTTGGTAGCCTCTTGGTTGTGCCTCTTGGCTATTTCGATGATATTACATAATAGGTTTACGTCGGGGGGTGTTTCGGTTTGATCATTTCGATGTTTAAATCAGAAAAATGAAAAGGGAGGAAAACAATAGTATCAACAGTGTAAATGAGGGAGTAAACAATTTTTTTTTCTACTTGTCTTGGCCTGGCCTAAGACTTGACTTTTATATCTAGGCACGGGATGAAGCAGACGAACCTCCGTTAAGGAAGCCTTCGGTTTGCCTCCTTGCTTCTTTGGGTCAAGCGAGCATGATTTATCTTCATTTGTCGCTCCTGTGAATAAAACTTTTAAGTGTATGTTGAGACCGTTACAGGGGATCTCCGCATGGCCCAAGGGTTTGTACCTTTTCTTTGAAAACCTCACACGCGATGTAAACCGTCGATTATACTTTCTCCCTCAACATAGATGAAGTGCTGAAGGCCGAAGGCCGTGAGGGAAAGGCTCAATGGCGGGAGATTCCAAACTTCATGGCGAAGGAAGAATTTGGCGGGTCCGTCGGTTGCTTCGCGGGTTAAATCACACGAGTAGCGCTTCAATGATGTTGGAATTTTTATTTGTATTAAATGTATCCATTAATCGATTTCCATTTCCACATATATATATATATATATATATATATATATATATCAACTTTACGCTTTATTATTCTCTCTCTATTTTTATTCGCCTCTTTCGCGCCATCGGCATTTTCCGCGTCAGGCCGTGCCGTTCTTTTCGGTGGGGCGGCGCCACCGTTCCTCCGACCCTTAAACGTAGCATCGTCGTCGCTTGCCCCCTTTCAGCTCGCTTTTATTATATTTCCCTCGGAATAATAATAACTGCGCGGGGTGAGGGCGGGCGGAAGTGGCAGGACAATGAATCCGATTTAATGAAGGAAGGTGTGACGTCCGGGGAGCAGCGGGCATCGTGGGGCCTTCGCCGTCTGTCGCGGCTGCCGTCCTTTACGCCGAAAGTGACGGGCGCCGTCAGGCGGTGGGTCGGCCCATGTGACGGCGTCCCCGTGCTTTTCGGTGGTGGGGACGGGCGGTGGGGCGGATGGCCAGGGTGGGTGGAAGAAGGAATCTTTATTGCCTCCATGTTTTCCTGGAGATTCCGGATTCCGTTCGGGAGAGGTGGGGCGCCGAGTCTTACGGTGGCAACAACCGTGACCGCAGACCACACCACAGGGCGGGGATACCAACAACCTGCGACCGACGCAGATCCTTGCGAGGGGGGCGGCACATCAAAGGCAACTTTATTTACTGCCCCCGCCTACTTTATTTAGGCGGGCAGCTCGCCTACTTTATGTACTGCCCAGCTGTCCAACGCAGCTTTATTGTGTTTTTCTAATATTTTTCTATTTTCTTCGACAAAAAATAATTTCTTTAATTTTTATTATATATTAAAAAATAAAAAATAAAGATCTTGATAATATATCATAAGATCGTATATTCGAATTTTATTTTTTAAATATTTTTATTTTTTAAAATATTCTTTTGATTTTTTTTCTTTCTAAAGTCCTCTGGACTCGTCCTATTAGATTTATTGTAATATCAATTAGAATATATTAAAAATAAAATTATAATATTTTTAATATCACATAAAGTTATTATAATTAATTCAAAAAATAATTATTAATTCATATTTGTATTAGTATACCAATCAATTAAAATATTTTTATATAGTTTTATAGTATCTTTATTAAAATACTAAACAATGGACAAGAGTTTTATTATTAACATAGAAAAGTTTAGTCACCGACTTGAAAATGCTAAATTGAGAGATGCTTCACAAAATATATCCTAATATATGTATAATAAATATATACCATTTTATTGTATAAATAGATCAATCTCGTGCTCGGATGACTACTAATGACATAAAGATTCTTAAGTTATATGTATTTGATACGTAGCGTACAAAAGAGAGACTGTTTATAATAAATGAAATGACGATTCCCATCGCTTTAATATAATGAACGTTTTGTCTCTTATCTCCGGCGAAAGAGATCGGACGGTGCACCCATGTCTTATGGTCTCCCAAGGAACATATCAATACTAGTATTTTTTGAAGGACAACGTGGCTTCTCAGAGTTATCCTGACAAGTGTGGTGGACGAGTAGATATAAGAGATTTTTCATCTTTCTTATAATAAATGTATATATAAGAGATTTATACTATCAATTTATAATATTTTAAAATAAATTTAAATATCTTCATCAAGAAATTATAAATCTTTCTTATATAAAAAAATTATTTGAATGATCCTATAGTAATAAGTACTTTGAAATTATATTATAAATCTATTAAAAATATTATTACTGAGAAACTGGTGAAATCTATTGGAAAAAAAATAAAATACTAATTAAAAATATATAAAAATTATTGGAAAATAAAATAAAAAAGCCTTTTTTACTGGTCCAGCAAACAATGGGGCTTTCTACGTCGAACGGTGGCTCGTACGGTACAATGGCCGAGCACCTCAACTCGGTGTGGTCCAGTGATGGAAAGCTGATACGTTGTAGAAAACGATGGTAGTCGGAGCAACTTGCTGGCTTCTTCTCCGCCGTTCCTATCATTTGAGGTTTTTGGATTTATGTTGTGCTGTGTATTGTGATACGGATTCGTTGTATTAAGTACCTTTAAATCTTACACCGAGCTTTGGCAACTGAAGAAGAAGAAAAAGGAACAGCCCTAAATGGGTTTTGAAGTACCTCCTATTAATGTTTACAGCTTACTACATTAACTAGTCTCTGCCGCAAGCCTTTACTATTTCCCGACGGTGTAGGTGGGAAGAAGCCCAACACGCGACCTGGGTTCGGGTGCGTGCGTTTGGGTGGTGGGACGGACACATGGCGGGTCGGTGGGGGCGGAGGACCGGTCATGGATGCGGCCATGGGATGGATCGGCTGTGCGGTGCGGAATTAGGGCTTTTGCGTTGCGTCCACCTCTTTTAAAGGCTTTCTTAGTGTGTGTGTGTGTGTGTGTGTTGGGGGGGCGTGTTGCTTCGCGGTTGTCCTGGAACTGGGAACGCCCTCAACCCCACTTCTCTTTACTGCTCACGGTTCCTCAACATTCCTCCCCCAAATCTCCATCTCTCTCCCTTTCCATCTGTTGATTTCTTCATCTCAGAAGAGAAGAGAAGAGAAGAGGAGTTTTCGTAGCTACCCGCTCCTCCTCTGTGCATCTCATCTTATCACCTCCTCTTCCTTCTATTTTCAGGCATCTCTCTGCTTGGTTATCCTTTGAACCAGTCCAACAACTGCGAGCAGCGCGCGTGCACACGTTTTGTTGTTGTTGTTGTGTGACATGGCCAAAGAGTTCGATGATGGAGGGCTTTGGCTGCCTTCTGATTTCCTCTGCGACGAGTTCGTTCTCAGTGGAGGAGGAGGCAAGGACGGTGGGGGCGACTTTGCCGCGGCTTGCTTTACGGGCGAGTTCTCTTTTGGGTTTGGCTCAAATCTGGACTCTCCTGTGGAGTCGGTGGCAGAGACGGAAGAGAGCGACGAGGAAGAGGACCACATCGCCGGGCTCACGCAGCAGATGGCTCGTTACTTCCTCCAAGACGAGGACAAGGATGCCTCCGGTGGTGCAGCGGACGACGCAAAGGTAACGAGTATTGATCCTCTTATCTGGCGACTAATTTATGTGGGCGTTCACGCCGGAGATCCGCTGATCCGACGAGTTCTTCAAGGCCATGGCACGCTCGCCCCAGTCAACGCTGTGCGTGTGGTCCGCCGCCTCCAACAAGGGGAGCCCGAACGGCCCGTCGCTCGTCTCTTCGCCGCCATCCACGTCTCCGATGAAGAAGCAAAACAAGGATCCCGCTGACCTGCTCTACGAAGCCGCGGGGCAGGTGATTCGGATGCGGAGCAACGATCTTGGCCGTCGCGAGAGTCTCTACGACCGCGGGATTCTTGGCGCGCCGATTAAACCCACCCTGGCGGCGTCGGTGGCTTCAGAGAACGCGAGCTTTGGCTACCATGCGACCGGTGCCGTCACTCCCGTTCTCACGCATCAGCAACTGCAGGCAGCACAAGTGAGCCTCGACCGTTTCGTTAATCTCTGATCCGCATCTCTTATTAGCCCTCAGTTCCCTGACATCTGGTGCTCTCTGTTAGTTTCACCATCTGAGGCAGCAGCAAACGATGAAGCAGCCGCTGTCGGTGGCCTGGGGAACGCAGAGCAAAGCCAGAGGCGGTGGCCGGCCCTTGGATCTATCGCCCTCCGCGTGGCCACCGCTCCGAAAACCGCCACCGCAGCAGCAGCAACCACCGCTTCCAGGGGCCGGGATGCGGGCCGTGTTCCTCCACAACGCCGGCTCGCGGAAGGAGTCCGCCGGGACCGGCGTCTTCCTGCCGCGGACTGTTGGCAAGAAGATCGAGCCAAGGAAAAAGACCGGTAAAAATCTTTTCACCGCTAGAATCTCATCATTATTCTGTCGTTTCCTGTAAACCTTGGAGCGGTCGCCATAGTCTTCCCATCATTCGTCGTCTCAGGTGAGCAGTTCATAGGCTTTACGTTTCCTTTGTATTGGGAGTCAACATTAAGCTGGTAGACTTCGCCCTCGTTTCTCCCTTGTTTCCTTTGATGTGCTACATGTCTCCTCGCTGTTCTCCCTTTTATACAGTGTTGCAACTTCTGCTTGATGTGCTTGATATTGCACAGGCTGTTCGACCGTGCTGGTTCCCGATAGGGTGGTTCAAGCTCTGAACCTGAACCTGAAGGAGTTCGCAGCACAGCCACGCTTCCCCGGTGGCTTTGTTCTGACTCATGGTGATTACTCTGAGATGCGTTCATGTCCACATTGGTGGAGTGTTGTTGTCATATTCTAATTTGGAAGCTCTTGTTTTTGGCTTGGCAGATGCACTTGTTGGGCGAAGCAGTGCGGGGCTATCACATCAGAGAAGGAAACACAACCTAACTGCCTCGCCGACGCCCGATGCAGCAGTGGCGACGGCAGCAACCCATGATATCGGCCTCCCTCAGGAATGGACCTACTGACCCATCTCACTTACACCAACTTACTGCAGTCTTAGCGCTTGCAATAGTTTTTAGGATAGGGAGTAGGAGAAGAAATTATGAAGAAAAATTATATATATATATATATATATATATATATATATATATATATATATATATATATATATATATTTGGCATAAGCAGCAGCAGTAGGGAATTTATAATGGATTTAGGAAGGTGGCAGTGCAGCAGATTTTGGCAGGGGATGCAGGGATGGATCGCAGGGTGTGAAGAAACAATAAGCGGTGGCTGTCTTATATTTGGCCGAGAATTATGGTGGGGGGAATCCTTTAGTTTCGCAATAAGGAATTCCAAGCTCTCTTTCACCGACGTCCAGCTTGATAGTCGTCATCAATCACCCCCCTAATTCTCTCTCTCGCTCTCTCTAGCAGCCTATGTGTGTGTGACGGAGCGCAAGAAATGTGCTGGTCGCTAAGAAATAAGCAGGGCTCCCAAGTTCGTTAGTTCTTTGCCGAGTCTCGAGTCTACTCTCTGGATGTGAAGAAAGCTATATAAGATCATGGTTTGCGGTTTGCATGTTTGGAAATAAAAATGTATCGATTGTAATCAAGTGTTAATGAAATATTGTATCTGCGTTCGAATTATTTGGCATGTTCATCCAACGTGGGGTTACCCACCACCGTCGACACATTGCGTGCTGTACGACTTTGTGGGCCGGCGTCTGTGGTTTGGTTAATTCTTTTTCCTAAAGAATTCCTGAAAGCTGTAAATGACTTGAGAGACAGGCATGTCCTTCGCCAACTTTAGCCTGCAGAGGGAAGGAACACTTTTATGCTGGTTTCGAGGTATGCAACGGTGTGTGCTTTTGCTTGAGAGAGAATGCGGCTGTGTTTATCATCTCAATCGTAGGATCAATTGATGTACATTGGAACGTTTCAATTTAATAATATGTCTTGTTGATCATTAATGGCGATCGATAAGAGGACCAGTCGCGTTCGTAATAATAATTTGCTTAAGCATCGCCGTCTCTGCCCCCTCATTTTCGTAATAATAATTTGCTCGATAAAATTTTAAGTTGACTTAATTAAAATATCCGTTGACTTTTAATTTCAATTAGAGAATCTGCCCCTATGCGTATGAAAAGCTAGTAGGTCAAAGGGTACATAAATGGCTGATCCAGTATTTACACATCAGTAATTACATTACATCTGTAGTTCGACATGCACAGATTTGGAGAGCTTAGCCTGAAAACCCCATGCACTCCAAAATTCTTTACATCGGTGCAGTATTTACACATTAAATTCTTCTTATCGTATTATATATAATATATGTATGATATTATTGCCTCTCTTCTTCTTCTTCTTCAGTCGACGTGGAGTCCGATTCGTCTACGTCAACTGCAGCAACCTGCGAAGGCCCGATCCTAGTGGCCGCCGGTTGCACACTGGAAGGTGGAGGCGCAGTTGCCACCGGGCCGTCGCCAACGTCAGCACCTTCCTCGTCCTCCTTGAGGTCCGCCGGGGGCAGGAAGCAGTCCGTGGAGAGCCCCCATATGTTGAAGTCCACCTCCTCCACGTTCCACGTCTCCTCCATCCGCGTCCGCGTGTGTCCGTCGCTGGTCTCCCCGAACCGGAACAGAGACACCTTGGTCCTCCCGGCGTGTGCGATGTTGACGCCGTCGATGGGCCGGTAGTCCTCGATGAGCGACTCCATGGTGGACTCCCAGTACACGCTCCCCTTGCTCGCCGAGTACTTGATCCGAAGGAGGCGGGAGTCCACGAGCTGGAGGAGCAGTCCCGTGCGCTGGCTAAAGTAGCCCCACACGGTGTGCTGGATGATCTCTACGGTGCTGCTGCTGCGGGCTCGCAAGGTGGCCGCCTCCGCATCCAGCCTTAGCACGAAGCAATCCTCCCCGTTGACCCTCTTCTCCCCGAGGCACACCGAGCGAGCGAATAAGTTGGCCGTGCACCTCGGGTCGAGACCCTGTGCATGTGACGGAGGAAACGGTGTGCTTTTCGCTCGTGTCAACGAAGAAACAAGGCGAGGGAACGGAGAAAGAGTTCACGGACCTGAAGAGAACGGCGAAGGGGGAGAGGCGGGCCACGGGAGGCGTGGGACTGGTGCCATGGGGTTTGTCTCCACGCCACCTTGCCGTCGCTCCCGGCGCTGAACTTGCACCCGGACACCATCAACTCCAAGCACCAAAGATGCGGCTTCTTCTGCCACAGCACAAAACCCCCAATCTCCCCGGCGCCGTCGAAGCCACCGCCCTTTCTTACCTTCCTATTGTTGCTGGCCGTGTCGCCGCCGCCGCCGTGGCCCTTGGGAAACTCCGACGCCGTCATGCGGACCTTCCCCACGGCGTACATGCTGTTTATCGCGTTCAACGCTTGCTCCCCTCCCGACGCCGCGATGTACTGCTGTACGATGTATTTGGCCATGGAGACTTCCTGCCATCCACGCATATTAATTCTCGTTTTGGTTCATGTCAAGAAGAAGAAACATCGATGGGACAGAGTAAGTCTCACAATAGGATCCTTCTCCATGCCGCGGACGAGTGTGGATCTATACGCTTGGACGGGAAGCGGGACGAGAGGCGCCCCGATGACACCGAGCATGAGCTGGAGCTCGGCCCCGCGGCCAATGGGCGATGGCGGCGACCGGTCGACGTGCGATCGCATCCACGCCTTTATGTTGGAACAGAGTGTCTTGTTGCTCCTGGAGCTGGCGTCGGAAAGGAACGTCTCCTCGGGGATGGGCACCTCGAGGACGGTGTCCAGTCCATCTTCTCGGTCCAGGTTCGGCCACAGCTTCCTCATGGAAGCTAAGCGAGAAAGGAGACGGGGGAATTGCTCAGAGTCCGCCACCAGTCCTTCCTTGCTTTACCACCTACCGATGCCGTCTTCTTCTCGTTCTCTATCCATAGGATAACAAAGCAGCGGCGGCATGTGTTGGACCTTCAAAGCTTCTCATTTGTCTCTCCTCTTGTTTCAACCTCACCGCCTGTCTCTTCCACGCTTTATCTAAAGAAATGCTTGAGCTTCGCTTTTGTTCCTCGTCGCTTCAACACCTCTGCATTCTCTTTGGACGACTCACAGCAGCAAATCACCAACCGAGTCTCTGGCCTGTGGATGATTCTTTAGCTTCAATATATAGTGAGAAGGGAAAAGGTATAGCGTGAATGGGCAGCAGAGCTTTGCAAAGGAACCAAAGGTGCATGCACCTATGTTTAAGCTCTGCACGTTTTCCTCCACCATACGTCTGTCGTTTCTTCCTGCATCTATTTAAGGTGGAGTAAGGGGACGTGATCAGAAAGTAAATGGTTTCATATGATGCCATTCTTAAAGTGGAAGACTCTTCGACTGAATATATTGACCAAATTCTTAAAGAGGAGTGTTAAGAAGTTAAAATATATTTTAGAAGATTATAAATAAATATTTTACCTTTTAAATAAGATTAGATAGAGTTTTAGGAATAAAAAAAATTCTTAGTTGAAAAAATTAAAATATATTTAAATTTTTTTAAATTAATATCTTATCTTTTTAAATAAAATTAAATAGAGTTATAAAGATTATTGCATTTGATCCTCCCATTCATTCATAGTCACCAGACCGATGCTTTACGTAACATAGAAGACCTGAGAGATATAGATAGGGTTCATGTGTGTCGTGTCTGCCAAATTTTGTAGTGGAAACAGAGCAAAGATAGGATTGTCGTGTTGGCCTCGATTGCCGGAGCCGCCTTCACCGCCCAAGCGTGCTTCCCGGCCTCGCCAGTTTAGTTTACAGTCCAAGGGAACTCCACGCCGTCGCCACCCATTTCATTTCAGTGGATCCGATAATAATAATAATAGAGAAACTCGAACGTGTGAACCGTACGAGAGGAGATGCTCAACTTTCAGTGGTCATTCCATGAGAAGAAACAAAGTGAACTAATGAACTGTCACGTGGCAATGTGTGTTTTCTTTTAAAAAGCTTTTATACGAACATTTCGTTGATCCTTTTTTTTTTACCCATATCCCATACACCCAAATCCTCAATAATAGACGTCCACCATTTATCATATATCCAATCCTTAGTTTCCACGGAATTTTATTTTTTTAAAAAATAAATTTCTAAATATAAAATCCTTATTATTAGACTTTCGTCAACGCGGGGTTTTACGAGGTCGATGTACACTGTCTTATCTTTAAATATTTAAAGATAAGACGTTGTTTATTTTCATGACTTGAATCTTGATCTTTTAGGTTGTAAAGAAACAACCCTACCCTAGTTTCTCATGTTGAGACTTCAGCCTACTACTAAGCTACGTAAAAGTATCCCTCCATAATTTCTTAGAGAAACTATAATTATTTAGGTCCAGATGTTTGAGGCAATAATAGGTCTGTGATGCCATTAGATGTTTTGGGTTGCACGCACATTACATCGATGCATTCAACGAGTGTATAATCTTGGGGACAAGCTCGAGTAATTTTTAAAAATATAAAATTTTTATTTATTAAGTAAATTTACTAATCAAATATTTTTTTTTACCCATATCCCATACACCCAAATCCTCAATAATAGACGTCCACCATTTATCATATATCTAATCCTTAGTTTCCACGGAATTTTATTTAAAAAATAAATAAATTTCTAAAAATAAAAATCCTTATTATTAGACTTTCGTCAATGCGAGGTTTTATGAGGTCGATATATACCGTTTTATCCTTAAATATTTAAAAATAAGATGTTGTACATTTTTATGACTTGAATCTTGATCTTTTAGGTTGTAAAGAAATAACCCTACGCTAGTTTCCCACGTTGAGACTTCAGCCTACCGATTAGCTATGTGAAAGCATCCCTCCATAATTTCTTAGAGAGACTATAACTATTTAGGTCCAGATGTTTGAGGCAATAATAGGTTTGTGATGCCATTAGATGTTCTGGGTTGCACACACACTACATCGATGCATTCAATGAGTGTATAGTCTTGGCGACAAGCTCGAGTAATTTTTAAAAATACAAAATTTTTATTTATTAATAAATTTACTAATCAAATAATTCTATAAAAATAAAATTACTAGTTATGATTTTTTAAAAAAATATATATCACTGAGTACATTGAAGATACCAACTAGTTTAATTGGTAAAGATTTTGATAGTTTATCGTAAGATCGTAGACTTAAATATCGAATGTTTTATGGTTGCCTTCAGCCCAATCCCATAAGTGGGCTTGTAGAGGTAAGCCAGCCCAAATTGTGGTTCCACCATCAGTGAGCTTACAATTGTACAGCTTATGAGCAATTAATTGTATACGGAATTCCACGTAAATTGCAGATTATTTAGCCCTTAAACCCCCAAAACAGGCATCGAGATATTTGATGAGAACGAATTCTACAGTTATGGAATCAAAGAGCATTCGCTATCAGTTTCTAAGGATCTGCTTCGGAGCTGCAGTCTCGTTTCTCATGACACACACTGTAGTAGCAGCCGGTGGGATGCCATCCCATTTCGTGGCAACCTAATCCAACTACACCTTCAAGCTATTGATTTCGACCCAATCCTAAGCTACATGGGGTATTTTAATGTGCATTGCATTCCAATCTTGTTGTTTTCAATATGAAAGCCATAAATCATACGATGGCCTATCTTCTCACTCCATGGGCCATCTCCCTGATGCTGATGCTGCCCCATTCCAATCTCCACTTTTGAATGGGACGCAAGAATATGGAATTCTCAAACAATATTTTCATGTCTTGGAGTGCTTAGGAAAGCAGCTTACCCACTTCCGGTTATGACGTTTATGGCTCGTAGAGACTTGTATCGCAAGTCATTACTCATGGCACCATTTCCTAGGTTGATACCAACTCTTGACATCCAGTGAATGGACCGTTCCTTCTTCGGTCGAGTTAGCATGCTCTTCGTTTAGTTCCTGAGATGTGACACAATCTGTTATCGAAAAGATGTAGTTGAGATGGTAGATGAGAAGGTTCAGCTACTCGTCCTCTGTTTGGATTCGATTGGCCAACTCGTCGAGGACCAGAAAATGACATGCTCGGTGCTCGGTACTGTTTCCCTGTGTCTTTCTCCCCACGAAACCGTGTCTCTCCACCCTATACTACCTCTCTAAAACCATCATAGACAAAATGGTTCGTTATGAACTCTGCAATCGCATCGACGTATCTTTCAGTACTGCGGCGAAGGAAGAGACTTCCGCTTGTGTCCCGACCTGCTATTGTTCATGCTTTTGGTTGATCCATCGATGCAGTCAAAACCGGACGAGGTCATCGACTCGTTGGAACTACAGAGCGACAGGTGAGCTGTCGTTACCTTAGCTTTCGACGAGTCATATAGTGCCGAGACGACGCACAGATTTCCACGCGACATTGCCGAGGAACGAGTGCTTTTAGCTAACCGGTCGATCGGACTGGGCAATCTGGAAACGTATGTACAACTGAAGCTACCAACTCTGGAAGGATTCATTAGTAATAGGATGGGGTTGACCAGAGTGGTAGTTTTCGCAACCTAATCATCACCTGCTACGATTTGGGCTCTGATTCTGTCCGTCAACGGTGAGGAATACCTTTCTGCGTGCGTTTGAGGACGCAACGGTGGCTCTATAAAAGTGGCCCTCGATGGCTTCTCCATTGGCATCCGGTCTCGAAGAAAAAGCGGAGAGGAGGCTTTCCTCTGCTTCGGTCGCTGCGATACTCCCAACTTAACCGATGCGTTCCTCGGCTTTGGTTCTTGTCTTCCTATGCTTCGTTGCGGATGCAGCCATCGTGGAGCACACCTTCAATGTGATCTACTACTTACTATCCCTGCAGTCAATCCTTGTTTCTCTTTCTGCAGTATTATCTTTGGTTCCGTCGATGGAGTTCGACATGCTTTTCGTCTTTCAGGTGGGAAATCTGACGGTAAGTCGGCTGTGCGAAGACAGAGTTATCACTGCAGTGAATGGCCAGCTTCCCGGCCCCACCATAGAGGTTAACGAAGGCGACACTTTGGTGGTTCATGTCACGAACGAGTCGCCCTACAACATGTCGATCCACTGGTAAGTAATGGAGGCAAACTGCAAAGACTCATGCGTTTGGCAATTAGGAATCAGTAGTCACAAGCTGCTGCTGCTGCTGCAGGCATGGCATCTTCCAGATGTTAAGCGCGTGGGCGGACGGGCCGAACATGGTAACGCAGTGCCCCATCCGCCCCGGGAACAGCTACACCTACAAGTTCAACGTCACCGGCCAAGAAGGCACGCTGTGGTGGCACGCCCACGTCTCCTTCCTCCGTGCCACCGTCCACGGAGCTCTCATCATCCGTCCCAGGGGCGGCCCTAAGCGCTGCCCCTTCCCGCAGCCCCATCATGAAGTCCCCATCGTCCTGGGTATCGTTTCTGCAACAGTGCTCGCCTCGTCCTATTAAACTGGCCCCGGATGACCGAGCTCTTCCTGTACTTCAAATCTTCTGCAGGGGAGTGGTGGAAGGCCAATGTGGTCGATGTCGCAGACGAGGCCTTTCTTACCGGTGGGAACCCCAACATCTCCGACGCGTTCACCATCAACGGGCAGCCCGGTGACTCGTACGAATGTTCCGAGAAGCGTGAGCGATGACTCTTTACCTCTGTCTGTCGATGACGACGCGTGCATTTCTGATTCGTGCGCTGCATGGTCGCATGCAGACACCTACATGCTCAAAGTCGTCGCAGGGAAGACGTACATGCTCCGCATCATCAACTCTGCACTCAATAATCAGCTCTTCTTCAAGGTCGCCGGGCACAACTTCACCGTCGTGGCGGTGGACGCCAGCTACACCAAGCCCTACAAAACCGACGTGGTGGTCATCGCCCCAGGGCAGACAGTCGACGCCCTCATGGTCGCCGATGCTGCCCCGGGCAGATACTATATGGCCGCGCGCCCATACATCAGCACGGGCCCTCAGGGCCCTCCCTTCGACACCACCACCACCACCGGTATCGTCAAGTACAAGTCCGCCCACGGTTCTTCGCCTCCTGCGATGCCCACCATGCCGCTCTTCAACGACACCGCGACCGCCCACCGGTTCTTCACCGAGATAACCGGTCTCCTTAAGCCGGGCCTACCCACCGTCCCTCTCGTCGTGGACGAGCAGATGTTCGTTACCTTCGGGCTGGGGCTTGCTCCCTGCGAACCGAGCCAAGTCCGGTGCAACAGGACCGCGGGTTCTTTCGCTGGAAGCATGAACAACGTATCGTTTCGGTTCCCCACCACGACGTCGTTGCTGGAGGCGCAGTATAAGGGTGTGAGCGGGGTGTACACGGCCGACTTCCCCAACAACCCGGCGGCTCTCTTCGACTTCACCAACCTCACCGTGAACACCGACCCGTCCCTGCAGCCGTTGCGGTCCACGGTCAAGGGCACCAAGTTGAAGAAGGTGAAGTACAACGCGACGGTGGAGATGGTGCTGCAGAACACGGCGATCCTGGGGACGGAGAACCACCCGTTGCACCTCCACGGCTTCAACTTCTTTGTGCTCGCGCAGGGCTTCGGGAACTTCAACGCGACGGCGGCGGCGAGCAGCTACAACCTGGTGGACCCGCAGGTGAGGAACACTGTCGCGGTGCCGGTGGGCGGATGGGCCGTCATCCGATTCGTCGCCAACAACCCAGGTGCGTCTCTTTCTTTTCGCCGTCTTATCCATCGCCGGGGCAGCTGGAACTATATGGTTTGATGTGTAGGTGTATGGATCCTGCATTGCCATTTGGACGCCCACTTGCCTTTCGGGTTGGCCACAGCATTCGAGGTGGCGAACGGACCCACCGCCGAGTCGACTCTGCCTCCACCGCCGCCGGACTACCCCACTTGTTAACCAGCAGACGCCGATAGCAAACGAGCTATATTTCCTCGCCTCACGAGTTGTTCGATGTCTATTCTTTGGGTGTCTTGCACGTAACAATGACACCGTACGACTTCAATTCGTCCACAGAGTATATATTCTATAGTAAATTGCAACATGCCGTATTTTCTCGCAATAAAACATCATCTGCGGATTAATTCGACTGTCTCGTTCATCTCCACCGTTGTTTTGTGAGGAAAGTGTGGGTAATATTTTTGCCAAGCAACGGATCGTGTTATGGGCCGCTACAAGGCAGGCCGGCCCATAAGCTTCCATCAGAGTGTGCCACGGGTCACATATAGCCTCTTCGATTGAGCACGAATCAACGAAAGTTGCTGCACGCATCGGAGTAGGACTACGCCACGTCGATCGGAATCAATTGATGGGTGACGTTTCTCCTACTCTTGTCGTTCGTGGCGTCGCCACCCAATCCATGCGATTGAAAGTTCAACGCGATTGGCACACTATACGAACAATCCAAAACTTTCGCCGTCGCTGGTCAGCCGGAAGGCTTGAATGCGTTTGCTTGCTTGTGGCGCTCTTCGCAGAGGAAAAGAGGCGGCGGCGGCCACTTGGACGGTCAAAGCACAGAATGGGACGATTCCATGCCCATTATTGAAATCGTTTACTCATACCTAAATGCCATTTTTTTTTGTTATAATATATAAAGGCGGAATCATCGAAGAGGCGTCAAAGAAATACTTATAATAATAATAAAAAAAAAAATTAGACTCCGATAGTCTCTTCCTTTGACATCATATTAATCCCGAGACATCTTAGCATGCGTCAAACTCTCTTGAATCGTATCCATAGAATCCTATAATACCATTCGAGAGTATACTCGAAAAAGTTCCTCTGATACTTATTGTTTGTGTCAACACCTTTAAGCTGTGGCCTCGGGGCCGACGCGGCTTGGTTCGGTTCCGAATGGGCGGGGATCTTTCAGGGGAACCCGGGAGGTCATTGGGGGCGGCTGACTTTGCTGGGTGCGATCGGGGACGGGTCCGTCGTCTTTTCCGGGACGGGGCTCCCCTTCTGGGCGTTCGGGAGAGACGCTCCGCCTTCGTACCTGCACACAGGTCGGCCCGACCCCTCCGACATCAAGTTAGTGAATAGTCGTAAGGGGTTTTTTGTTGTCTCCCTCTTTTCCTTGGAGCGCGAGGGGTTTTATAGTGAAGGTTATCGTTGCCTAATGTGCCCACTTGCAGGGAGTAGAATCATACTCCTGGTAACGTTTGACATCGACGTTGGTGTGGCGTGAAGGACCGAGCTTGAGCAGGATATTAATGTGCCTCAGTCGACGTTCTGATCCGTGTTGACCAGGTGCTGTTGGGTTAACAGAGGCGCGAGGCGTCATCTGAGGCAGCTGACGTCAACCCGAGTCTTATCGTCATTATTACCCTCATCACTTATATTAGCCTTGGTCGTAAAATTTTTCTCTATACATTTGCTCACTCGTGAGAGATGCCGTCTTCAAAGCATACACATGAGTTAAGATCGGGATTCAAAAGACAGCCCATTGTTTCTTGCATGATGTAAACAAACATCTTGATAGAATACCACAGAAGGGTCCATGTGACCCTTCTAAGACTAATTTAATCTGGTCAAATGGGTTTAACCTAATAATTCATAATTAAACAATCAGTCATTAAAAATAATCCTCTTTGGTTCTCTTAGTCTGATCCGATTGATTTAAATATGAGCAAACACAAATATCAAGAGAAAAAAAGGAACTGTGAAATGATTACTTGAGACGACAGGAACTCAAAACTGATCATTGATCTCTTATTAGCATGCATACCAAACTCATTTTGGCTCTATAAATCTCTCTAAAAAATAGTCATTCCATTTAGATATACAGAACATAGTCTGTCCAAAGTAAAATATAATATTGTTATCTTTTTGTCATACTATATTTAGTTTTGTACTGCATCAAAATTTGTCTTCACCACATAAGAGGAATTCTGACATTAATGTCTTCTTCAAACGGAGTGCACCAAATTAAAATGGGTTTTTTTCTTTCTCTCTTTTGATGAAAGGAAATTTGACGGAAGAAGTCCTTTACATCCTAATAGTAGTCTAATATGATTCGGATTTATATGCATATCATTGAGATTTCTTCAAGATGAAAACGTCAAAAGATATCTATCAGTGATGTCATGTGATGACATTTGGCTCAAGAGATCAATAAAACTAATTTAATCTGGTCAAATGGGTTTAACCTAATGATTCATAATCAAACAATCAGTCATTAAAAATAATCCTCTTTGGTTCTCTTAGTCTGATCCGATTGATTTAAATATGAGCAAACACAAACATCTAGGGGAAAAAAAGGACCGTGTGAAATGATTACCTGAGACGATAGGAACTCGAACTGATACTATATCTCTTATTAGTAGCATGCATACCAAACTCATTTTTTGACTCTATAAATCTCTATCAAGAATTGTCATTCCATTTAGATATAGGGAACATGTCCAAAGCAAAATATAATATTATTCTCTTTATCACGCTAAGGC